GAGAGAAACATCGACATGAGAGAGACACATCAAGTGGCTGCCACCCACATAACCCCAGCTAGGGCCGGGGACAAACTGCAACCAAGGTACGTGCCCTTAGCAGGAACTGAACCCGGGCCTCTGGTCCGTGGGATGATGCTCTAACTGCTGAGCAAAACCGGCCAGGGCTCCATTTCTGTCTTTAAATGCTGCTAGAGCCCTGACTGGGTGGTTCAGTTGGTTGGAACATCGTCCTCTACACCAAAATTTGCAGGCTCGATTCTCCATCGGGGCACATACCTAGATCATGGGTTTGATCCCTAGTTAGCACATATGGGAGGCAACTGATTGATTTTTCTCTCTTACATTGATGTTATTCTCTCTCATCGATGTTTCTCTCTCTCTCTCCTCCTTCCTCTGTCTCTAAAATCAATAAAAACATAACCTCTGGTGAGGATTAAACAAAAATTCTACTAGAAAAGATATTTTCTGGATCATAGTGAATTTCCATAGGCTCTGTTTCTTAGACTTTCACACATCTTCTTCATTTCATTTCCAAATATTTTAAGTTCCTTGATCAGTTTTTCTTTGGGTTTATTTTTGTTCATCCAAGCATATACTTTGGTGACTTTGCCCTCAGTCAACATTTTCTTCTTTGTACATTTTGGTTTGAGTCACTTCAATAGCATATGTGGTAGAGTTTAATACTGTCTGGCCTACACTTGTGTGCATTCCTGCTTTGTACAAAATCCAGTTTTCTAATTGCATCTGCAAATACATTTTCACATGGTAGCATTTCCACTATGATCTTTGTGTTTCCTTAATGTGATTTTCGTGGAAAACATTCATAAGGACTTTGATATGTGCTTTATACCATTGATTCTCAAATGGAATCAGGTTGGTAAGCTGACTGGAAGTCAAGAAGTAGAATAGCATGAGCTCTTGATTTACTTCAAATCTGTGAAGTAGGCATGCTTTTACTATCAGAAACTATGAATATTCTATCAGTACAGACTTCTGCATTTCAACAGAAAAGTAAAACTGCATATAATTTGTAAGAAGTCACATATGTACTCTATTTTAATTGATCTTTGATTGCTTCTTGTACATTTCCATTTGTCATCTCTTACAAGAGCTAGAAGATAAAGATGGGCAATAAAACTTGAAGGCACATTTATGGGAGGAAAACTTAAAATTAAGAGTATGCTTTGCACTAACTGAATTTTTTTTCTAATTAGGAAAAGACCACCAATATTCTGTCTTAGTTGTGGAGCATCTTGATCCAGCTTGCTTGAAGAATACCAGGGTTCTGGAGGAGAACCTAGCTGTCCAGTATATGTAGGAATCTGACCAATTTGACTAAGAATCTATGTTTACTGACTCAGAGATGATTCTTAGTTTTCAGTCATAAGGAGTTGATATAGTTCCCAGGATCCCCCATTAAATGAGTAAAGTGCTTATGAAATGTAGTATTTATAACAAATATGTTAAGTGCTTATAATAATGCTTGGCACATAGTAAGAGCTATGTAACAGTAAGCTTTATTATTAAGTTATTATTGTTACTGGGTTTCTTTTGGCACTTTGTAATGTAATGTGACTGGAACCTATTCTCGTGGCCTCGTTGACTCCAAAATAGGGGCTTGCCCAGTATTGCATCCTTGGTCTCTGCTGTTCCTGTCGCTAGATGTATAGAGATAGAGATGCAGCCTTACCCTCAGATTTCATATATTTCCATAGCATGTGAGAAGTAGTTGAAGGTGCTGGAGACTGTTAACCTGAAGGAGAGAAGAGAACACGGAACTTTTTCATAGGGCTGTTGGGAGACTGAGGCAGTAGGCAATCTCTGGATCAATGATTCTTCAACCTTTTGTAGTGACAGACTGCTTTGTAACTCTGATGCAGGCCCTTCCCTGGGGGAAAAAATCATTGAGCATCTTCAGAGGCACCATAGACTTTCTTAATCCCATCCAGGGACGGGAAGGCTTCCCATAACAGAGCCTTGCTCTGGAGGGCAAAACTAGGACCAGGGAGCAGCGGATGCTGATGGAGCAGGAAAAGCAGTGTTGGTTCAATATAAGTAAGAACTTTCTAACAGAGCAGTAGTTCTCCATCTTTGCTGGAGTTTAGAATCATTTTGGGTGATTTAAAAAATCCGGATGGTTGGGCAATGCCTAGATCAGTTATAATCAGAATCTCTGCAAGTGGGATCTGGGCATTTTTATTTTTTATAAAGCTCCCCAGGTGATTCCAAGGTGCAGCCAAATTTGAGAACTAGTAAATTACTTTTTCATTTGAGAAGGCTATCTAAGTAGTGAATACCTTGTCATTGGAGATGCTTAAAGCAAAAATAAACATCTTTCTTATTGATTTGAACATTCTACTGCTACTTAATCTCTGCTAAACAATGTCTTTTTCTTTGCTATAATAGCCTCAAGTTTAAATTTATTTTATTCTTTAGTAAATGGCTTTGCTTTTGATTCTCTGGGTTTTTTTTTTTTTTCCTTTTAAACTATACACTTATTAAGTCTGTGGGTTCTGTAGTACAAATGTATCTGTAATTTAGAAGAGAACAAGGTCAGAGTGTAATATAGGAGCTTCTTGGGGCTGGGCAGTGACTGAATTGAAATTTCACAATATGAGAGGATCAGACTGGTTTGCACAGTCAGGTCCATGCTGTTCATAAATAAAATAGCTTTAAGTCACTTCTAGTTTTTAGTCACTTGTAATATATGTTTTTTTTCCCCCTTTCAGATCTCATTCATTTCCTCTGATGTCATGTTGGAAAAGATTAGGATGTCCAAAAATATTTGACCTTCCATAGGTAAATGGAACTTTATTATCATCAAATGCCCCTTTAAGTCCAAGTGAAAAAGCTGAAATGGTAATTGAACAGATACTGTTACAAGAAGTTATCTCTACCTCAACAGGAAATGAACAAGATGTGGGTTTCTGGCAGGGATCATGTTGGGGGAGAGAAAGAGTGGACTCTATCTCATTGCAGGCAAGGACTTCTTCCAGAAGGCACTGGTGTTCGTGGGCACTCGTTTGGATCATTGGCAGCCACTGCTTAGGCATTATTAGAGTTCATCTGTGCAGCTTGTGTGTTCCCCAGGAGGAACAGCTCTCTGTGGGAAAGTATTACTATTTTTTTTTATCCTCACCCGAGGACATTTTTCCTTTTTTGTTCAGATAGCGTGGGAGGGAGAGAGAGAGAGAAACATCGACGTGAAATGGAAAGTATTATAATCATGCCCTTTTCATATATGAGCAAATGGACCTAGAAAAGTCACTTAGCTAAGCCTCGCACAGGTAGTAAATAGAACTGGCACTGTGGCTGTTTGGCACTTGAGTCTGTGCTCATAATCAGGGTTGTAAATTTTCTTTTTTAAAATTTTTTTTTCTTTATTGATTTTAGAAAGAGAGGAAGGGCGAGGGAGAGAAAGATAGAAACATCGATGAGCGAGAACATCGATTGGCCACCTCCATGCCCCCCACTGGGGATCGGGCCCACACCTGGGCATGTGTCCTGACCGGGAATCGAACTGGCGACCTCTTGGTGCAGGGGTCGACGCTCAACCACTGAGCCACACCGGCTGGACCAGGGTTGTAAATTTCTAACCCTCTGACTGGATTATAAATGCCAAGTCGCCCTGTTCAACTTGCATAGATAGTTCATCATCATCACCTGCACCACCGCGATGACTGTCATCATCACCTACTGTATTCGTTTCCTAGGGCTGTCATAACAAAGGGCCAACACACTGGGGGGCTTAAACAACAGAAGTGTATGGTCTCACAGTACTAGAGGCTTATTACCCAAAATCAAGTGTTGGCAGGGCTGATTCCTTCTGAAGACTGTGAGAAGAACCTGTTCCAGTCTTCTTTCCTTCGCTTGTAGATGGCTGTCTTCTCTCTGTGTCTTTTCACAGCATCTTCCCTCGGTGCATGTCTGTGTCCAAACTTCCCCTTGTAATAAGGACACCAGTCCCACAGTGGATTAGGGTGAACTGACTGACTGAGCTTAGACCACATGCTTTACCAGTTTCCTCAGAAGCCTACGATCCCCAAGCTGATATCCAGAGTTGTTGGGAAGGGAACGAGGAGGAGGGCAGGGTGCATAAGTCACACATATCCACTACAGTTCTCTTGTTATTAGTACAATATCACTTGTACATTTTTGGAGTGGAGGGTAGTCATACTTAAACCCAGATTGCTTACTGCAGTCTGTACTCCATCATGAGGGAGTTAATATCTTCCTCTCTCTCTTTTTTTAAAATCCTCACCTGAGGATTTTTTTTTCCATTTATCTTCAGATAGAGTGGGAAGGAGGGAGAGAGAGAGAGATAGACATTGATGTGAGAGAGATACATCGACACATCAACTGGTTTCCTCCTGCACAACCCCGACCAGGGCCCAGGATGAAACCACCACTGAGGTATGTGCCTTTGACCAGAATCAAACCCATGACTCTGGTCTGAGGGCCAATGTTTTTTTTTTTTGGTATGTGCCCCTAGCGGGAACCGAACCTGGGACTCTCTGGTCCACAGGCCAACACTCCAACCATTGAGCCAAACTGGGCAGGGCTTTAATTAGTCTTTAATTAAAATTAGACTCACCCTGGCTGGTTTTGCCCAGTGGTTAGAGTGTTGGCCCATGGACCAATGAGTTGTGGGTTCGATTCTGGCCAAGAGCGTGTACCTTGGTTGCGGTTTGTCTCCGGCCCTGGTCTGGTCGTGCGGGAGGCAACCAGTCGATGTGGCTCTTTCATATCGATGTTTCTCTCTCTTTCTCCCTCCTTCCTGCACTCCCATTCTAAATGAAGGTTGATGGAGGAATGTCCTCTGGTGAGGATTAAAAAAAATTAGACTTATCTTTTATAATGTCAATAGTTGGCAGTGGATGGTTTTGTAATATTTCTTCTGAGTCTGTTCTTGAATGTGCTGAAGATATTTTACCCGAGTTACGCTTTTTTTTTTTTTTTAAACTGAGTTCAATTCGTATTTCAAACTACAGGAAGAAGATGTTAAAAACTTTAAGCAACCATCAGGGTAATCACAGTAATGGATCTCTGTCAGAAAAATGAGACGGAGTTAGAAAATAGTGAAAATAATGGAATTCAAAGCACAGAAGAAACGGAATTAACCTGTGCTTGTCCAGATGAAACAAGGGAAAAGAATCATGTTTGTTGCCTTCTCAATATCAGTGACATTACACTCGAACAAGATGGAAAAGCCAACAAGTTTGTTATGGGAACTGGATGGGAAGAAGCAGTGAGTATCTTCTTAGTTAAGTCTCTTGCACATCAGTATTTCGATACGAGCCTTTTTACTTATTTCAGAAATAGTTACCATTACCAAAAAATGTGTAAACAATGCAATATAGAAACCTTTGGAACAGAGGTAAAATGCTAATGGTGAGGATAGCAGTACCTTTTATTGAGTATTTATGGCCACTCAGTATTGGCAAGCACGGTACTAAATGCTTCATGTACATCACTTCTTTCAACCTCACAATAGTCCTATGTGGCAGCTATTATGACAGCCTCACTTTTTGGACAAGGATACTGAGGCACCCAGAGGGTGAAATGATATGCTGAGGATTACCCAGCCAGTGGCTAAGGTCTCTGGACTCCAGACTCTGAGCTCCTTAGCCACGGGACTAAACTCCCCGAGGGACCTGAGATTTCTGTCCTAGTAGTTCTACTCAGAACCCTGTGGGTTTAATCTTAAACTTCCTTAGAATCAAGAATAGCATCCTAAATTTAGAACTACAAGGACATTTGTAATGTTTCTCAGGCAACACTTGCCAATGTCACCAACAGCGGGTGAGGGGAAGAGATGCGGCTGGCATCTAATGAGCCAGGGCCAGGAGGGCTGCCCCACGCCCTGCAAGGGCCAGCACAGCAGCTTGCAGGAGGGGTCATCCAGCTCTGTCAGTTCAGGCTGTGTGACAATACCATGGGCAGGGCGGCTCCAGAGTCCTGCAGGCCGGAAGTTCAGGATCAGGGCGCCAGGTGGCTGGGTTCTTGGTGAGGGCCTTCCTCCTGGTTGTGCCCTCATATGGCCGCCTTTGTTCTGTTCAAGCAGAGAGACAGATCCCTTGACTTCTCCTTTTCTTATAAGGACAACGATCCCATCATGAGGACTCCACCCCCTTGACTTCTTCTACCCTAATTATCTAAACATGCCCCACCTCCAAATACTATCACATGGGGGATTGGGGTTTCAACACAGGAATATTGTGTTGAATATTCACAAAGGGACACACATGTACAGTCCATAGCAAGCCCCAAATTCTGGTAGTGCCAAGGGTGAGAAATCCCGATCTACTGGGTTTCGTTTATAAGAGTGGAAACTGAGGCTAAGACAAGGCAGAGTGATTCACGAAGCCCACTGCACAGTGGGAAGAATCATGTCTTCAAGAGCCTCCCCTAGTAACTCTCTCTATTTTACTGCCCGTCCCCCTTTATGACCTTCCCACGAACTCCCGTGCCAGAGAAGTCAGGGCTATAGGCTGTCCTGTTTAAGAATTTAAAACTTTCTAAGTTTAGAAGGTTCCGTTTACTATTCAAGATAACTTTGAAATATACATCTAAGGGCTGTTGGCATAGACCTGCATCTGCTCATCCCTCTCCCTTCAGCCCCTCCATGCAGCAATCCCCCTCCATGCAGCAATCTCCCTCCATGCAGCAATCCCCCTCCATGCAGCAATCCCCCTCCATGCAGCAATCCCCCTCCATGCAGCAATCCCCCTCCATGCAGCAATCCCCCTCCATGCAGCAATCCCCCTCCATGCAGCAATCCCCCAGGTCTTGCCTGAAGGACAAGAAAGCCTGGTGGGGGGAAAGGACAAACAGTTCTGCATTTATGTTCATTTAATAGTCCCAGACCTGTTTTAATGTACACCTGAAAACAGATATAGTCAGCACATCAAGGTGGCCATTTGTAGATACTATTGCTTAGTATTTTACAAATCCTATTGCTAGTATTTCAGATTTTAAAATACTGTTGTTTAATATGTGGCTAAAATAGGTTTTGAAAGTAAAAAAAGAAAAAAAAAACCCTGGCTTGTTTATCTCAGTGGTTAGAGTGTTGGCCTGTGGGCCAAAGGGTTGCAGGTGCAATTCTGGTCAAGGGCACCTGCCTCGGTTGTGGTTTGGTCCCTGGCCCTGGTTGGGGTCATGTGGGAGGCAGCCGGTTGATGTGTCTCCCTCTCGCATCCATGTTTCTCTCTTTCTCCCCCGCCTCCCTCCCACTCTATCTGAAGATAAATGGAAAAGTATCCTCGGGTGAGGATTAAAAAAAAAAAAAAGATGAGTCTATTTAAAGAAAAATATCATTCAAATAGGATGGCCATAATGGGGATGTTACTAAAATTGGGGTGGCTAGAGTTTGGGCAGCTCAGTGGAGAGTAACCTGCTGCTTTATTTGCAGGTTCAAGGCTGGGGAAACACTTCTCCAACTGCCTGCATCTGGCCCAGGAAGAAGCTTAAGAAGCCGAAGGTGGGAGAAAGTGCGAGCAGCTGCTTACTTTGTGTCAGTCTCTCTCAGGGGATCCCGGAGTTCAAGCCTCAGCCTGAAGCTGGGAAGTTGGAGTCAGGGGCTCTGGCTGAGGCAGGCGCAGAGAAGGATCGGGGCATCCCCTCCCAGACTCACAGCTCCCCAGGAGGCCCCACCACTGCCACCAGGAAGATTAGCAACGTGTGCTTTCCTTCCTACAATCCGGGAGAGAAAGACAGTCAGCAAAGAAAGGAGTTTATGTGGTGCATGGAAGAGTGGGCTGTCCCAGAGACTGTAAGGGACAAGGATCCCAGCAGAGGCGCTGACCAAGATCCCTCCATCTCAGACTCATTGACTTCCAAGGCCCTTTTAGTTCTGCCTCCCCTGAAGGCTTCAGCCCCAAATGACTCGGATGTTCTGGGTAAGAAGAGTAAGGACTTTCTCTTGCAGCCAGAAGAGAAGGTGCTGAGTGTGGAAAAGGATGAGTGTGTGGCCTGTGCATATGGATTGAACATAGTTGACGGGAAAGATGGAAAGAGACCCACTGAGCTGGCCAAGCACCTTAAGGTCAATTGCATGCAGTCTTTTCCTCCCTCAGTGGTTGGGACATCCCTGCTGGCCAATCCAGATCTGGGCTGCCTGCACTGGTCCCTCCTGCCTGAGAAAAAATTGGTGTGCCCTCCCAATCCCAATAATGTTCGCTATCTCACCACCGTGCAGATTTTGCAGAAGCAGAGAGTGCAAAGCTTCAAAACCAAGTTCAAAGCCAGGGAGCCTAGACCTCCCATGAACACCCAAAAGCGCATTCTCAAGGAGGCCAAGCCTCATACATTGGAGACCAAGGTGTTCCCAAGACCTCTCTTGCCGTCCCTCACAGTGAGCAGAGTGGTTATTCCTGTCTCCACTCACAGATTCCTCTGAATTGCCACAATAATTCCCTGGGAATAAGCACCTTTGGTAACTCATTCATCCTCTCTCTCTTCTGCTCTCATCCCATTCTCCTCTTTTCTTCCTTTCCCTCATCTTCCCTCCCCTTCTCTCTTCCCATCCTTTTCTCTCCCTTTCCCTCCCTCTCTGTCCTTTTTTTTTTTTTGTAGTAGAACCAGAGGAAATAAACTCATTGTATGGATTTTGATTTATTCTCAAAACACCCATATGTATTTGTTACTATTTATGTGTTACCTGCTTCGGTTGCTCATTTACAAAGTGTGAACTGGTAATGCCAGCCTCAGCCTCTGGCTGCCTTACATGTCCTCTCCCCCTGGAAGCCAAGTGCATGGTGGGGAATCTGAGGAGGGTCTCTCTTGGCGATGTCCCGATGTCATCCTTGCACCACTGGAGGGCGCTCTTTCTGCCCTACCCCAGTGCCTTAGCTGTGTGTGCTGGGCTGTGGACCAAATGATTTCCCAGTTTTTAAAGATTTTTTTACTGATTTATTTTTTTTAGAGAGAGAAAGATCAATGTGAGAAACATCCATCGGCTGCCTCCTGTACACCCCCTACTGGGGATCGAGCCTGCAACCCAGGCATATGCCCTGATCAGGAATTGAACATGCAACCCTTCCGTGTACTGGACAACACCCAATCAATTGAGCCACACTGGCCAGTTCTTTCCTGATCTTTTGTATCAGGTAGATATCTGTCTGTTGCCTCAAAGATCTGAAGGATTGCTTTAATGGAAAATCCAGCCTGTGTTTAAATGAATATCCTTATGTTCAAGGTGACATATCCTTATAGTATATCTATGGGTATATCATATCCATTGTATCCTATGTGTCCAAAGTGACATATCCTTATATTATGGCCTCATGCTAGTCTCTGTGTCTGGGAAGTTTGAGCCACAGTTCCACATAATCCATCTTGGTAAGCAGGTTAAGAATAAATAGTTACTTGAAAAACAAAAAGTGTGATTATTGTCACCCCACATGCTTCCTCCAGCCTTACTTTGTATCTAATATTTGGGAACTCTCTAACCCCAGACAATCTCAGAATGGTCCAACAGCCTTCTTCCTACTTCAGCGTGATCTCAAGGAGGCTTTAGGTTCCTCTAGTCCAGTGGTTCTCAACCTTCCTAATGCCATGACCCTTTAATACAGTTTCTCATGTTGTGGTGACCCCCAACCATAAAATTTTTTTCATTGCTACTTCATACTGTTATGAATCGCCATTGGAAATAGGTCTTCCGATGGTCTTAGGTGACCCCTGTGAAAGGGTCATTTGACCCCCAAAGGGGTCGTGACCCACAGGTTGTGAACCAGTGCCGAGTCCTTTCCAAACCAAGCATGGAGAGCTCTGTGTTTCATCCCTCATCCTATTATTTTTGGATGTCTCATGAGTAAAACTTTCCCAAACTCCCATTTTTCTTGAAAAGTTAAAAATCACAAAGTGGCATTGTGGTAGCACCCAACACGGCCTGAGGTTACTCACTGGGTAGGCTGAGCTGATGAGGGTCTAGGTGAGGCAAGGGAGGAGCCAGAGGTGCAGGAGACCCTGGACAGACAACGTCAACTTCACAGATAGGCGAGGGGGTGGAATGTTTGAAGGGCAAGGGAGAGACTTGAAATCTATTCTGAGTCTAGGCTTGGCTGCATACATTTGGACAAGTACATAGGACTTTGGCTACTTCGGGAGACTTTCCCTAATTTTTAGCTTTATTCCTTTTTTATCCTGGACTTTGCCCCTATTATGAAATTTACCTGTACTTCAAAGATCATACTATAGCCCTGGCCTGTGTGGCTCAGTTGGTTGGCATCGTCCTGTGTACTGAAAGGTTGCTGGTTCAATTCCTGGTCAGGGCACATGCCTGGGTTTCGAGCTCCATCCCTGGTAGGGGGCATGCAGAAGGCAGCCGAACAATATTGTTCTCACATCGCTGTTTTTCTCTCTTTCCCTCTCCTTTTCTTTCTCTCTAAAAAACTCACTAATAAAAAAAAAAAAGATCATGTGCCCTGGCCAGTTTGGCTCAGCAGGTAGAGCGTTGGCCTGCGGACCAGAGAGTCCTGGGTTCGGTTCCCATAGGGGCACGTACCTCGGTTGTAGTTTGTCCCCTGCCCCAGTTGGGGTCGTGTGGGTGGCCACCAGTTGATGTGTCTCTCTCACATCGATGTTTCTCTCTCTCTCTTCCTCCCTCCCTCCTTCCCGCTCTATCTGAAGATAAATGCAAAAATGTCCACAGATGAGGATTAAAAAAAAAAAAAGATCATGCTATAAAGTGATTTGAACTCGGAATCAAATTTGTTTTCAGTTTCCTCCTCTAAGTGAAGGAGCCTCAGGACCCAGAGAGACCACAGAAGCCCCAGCCCACCTCTCTGTGGGCACCCAGCTGGCCAAGCAGGCCAAGCCGCACGCCTGGAGGCCTCACATCTGGGGCTCTTCGGGGTGTCTGGACTTGGGCCCACTTGGTGCTGTAGTTTAGGGGCTCCTGAGAAGCAAGTTGGGGAAGAAAGAAACAGACGGGCTCCTGTGGCCGTGACAGGGCAGGCCAGGGCAGTTGCTGGAGCCACCGAGAACGCTTTTCTGTTACCTGCTCGGCCAGCGGAGCCATGAGAGAGCCAGGGGCATGCCCTTGCTGCCCAGGCTAAACTCTGCCGAGTTCTACTAGCCAGTCACACGATACGACAGTTCCACTTGCTTTCAAGGCATTGTTCTAAGAGTTGAAAGCTCCTTTTGGGCATTCACTTTTTATCCTGAGCACATGCATGTGCATCAGGACTCATTTTCTTCTGTAACCCAAGGAGACTACAATCAACAGAGATTGAGTTCAGTCAGGCTGGGGTAGGGTCCGGAGCCTGGGCGTCTGAAGGCTCCAATGTGTCTCCCAGGTGGGAGACAGTCGGAGCACTGAGTGGAAAATACCACGTAAGACAGGACACAGGATGTGGTGAGGATGACGAGGTAATGTTTGTAAAATGCCAACAGAAATTTATTTCCCTTAATGAATAGCTGACTTCAAAGTTGTATAGAAATCCTGGGGCATGGTGAGTTGTTATTTGGAGCATGATGGGTCTTCACTCTTTAATAGTCCTCATAACAGCTGTGTAACTTGTTGTCTAAGGCTCTTTGCTTGGAGCCCGTTAATCAATCCATGGGCCATCTTCATTCCCTGGTCCTTTTCCTCATCCTGTTTTGCCTGAATTTTTCCTGCACCAGTCTAAACACCATCACTCTGTAGAGTACGTGCTTCTCATACTGATTCTGTGTCATCTGCTGAGGTGTTAACAGAAATAACTGACTCGTCAAGTTCAATCTCCCAGATCAAAGCTGCTGTGTGTATTCTTGTCTTAGGATAATTCCAGTGTCCAGTGCAATAAGTAAAAATAGAACCATCTTCCTTTTTTCCTACGAGCTGAGAATAAGGCATTAGGAGTCTTTATTTTTATTGATTTTTGAGAGGGAGAGATTGATTTGTTGTTCCACTTATGCATTCATTGGTTGATTCTTGACTGGGGATCAAACCCACAACCTTTGTGTATTGGGAGGACGTTCTAACTGACTGAGCGACCTGGCCAGGGCTTTTGTTTGTTTGTTTTTTAATACTCCAGCTGTGTCACTGGACATTGCCCTATGAAATGAGGGAATTAATACCTAAGGTCCTTTCTATTTCTCTCATTTTAGCTTAGTTAATTTGCCTGCAAACATTACTAGAGACTCATATTTGCTCTGGATCTTGATCTTTGTAGTGTGAAATTTAAAAAAAACCTAAGTGAATTTCAATTTGTACATTTCAAAAGCTACTGATAGTAAAACATCATAGGGATTAAAAATTTTTTTTACACAAGACTATGAGGACTCAACTTTGTCTACTAAAACATACTTTAAAAACACATACTTCTTAAAGAACCCAACAGCCCAGCTTGACAGTGCGTCTGCCACAATGCCTAAAGTTCCACTTCTCCAACCGGCCTACTCCTAGGATAGGGCTTTTCAGCTTTGGAACTGTTGGCATTTGGGGCTGGGTAATTCTTTGTGGTGGGGGCTGTTTTGTACATGGTAGGATGCTTAGCGATATCCCTGGTCTCTACCCACTAGATGCCCAGAGTAATCTTAGTTGTGACAACCAAGAATATCTCCAGACATTCCCAAGTGCCACGAGGGCAAAACGGGCCCAGTTGAGAACCACTGCGTTAGGGATTTAGTAACTCTAGAAACCAATGCCTTCATTTGCAGCCTCTGATAGCTTTCCTTATAGAGCAAGCAGGAACCTTGGTATGGAGGTGCAGGACAAGTGGAAGACCTGCTTGTTTCTTCCAGGAAAGCAAGGTACTCTGGATCTAAAGCCCTGCGGTGCTCTCAGACCCTGGTCCTTCAGGGTCTCTGGTGCCAGCTGCCCAGGTCCCCTCAAGGAGGAGACTGGCAAGCCTGCTTTTCCCGGAGGCAGTCTCTCTCCTAGCAACACAGGGCACCCTGGGCCAGCACCGGAAGAGCTTTCGGCATTCCCTTCCTCTTTCCGGAGAAGGTGCATTCTTGTTTTGGTGAGGTGTTGAAGAAAATTCTAAGATGTTGATGTATTTACATTTAACGGCTGTTGTTAGGAAATCTCGACTGTTTAAGTAATACTCTCTTCACATTCCCTGCTTGTGCTAAATCAGTATTAAGTAGTAAGAGGCAGCCAACACTATGTGTGACATTCCTTAGTAACCACTGGCAAATTGATACTTCGCAAATACCCATGAAAATGACTTTTTCTCCCATCTAGTTCAAAATACAGACCTTTCCTTTCTTCCCTGTGTTATCTGTTAAAATGAAACAGTTTATCTGCTCATCAAAACTTAAAAACAGCATACTTGAAAACATACTAGAAACTAGTTTTATTTTCAGTACCACAGGAGGGTTATGACTATTAACCAAGCCTCTAACTGTGAAGGGACTGTTAGCAATTTCATGTCTTAATCTGCATGCTGCTCTGAAGAAAACTAGTCATCTCCGAATAAAACATTTAATTTGGGGTAAAAACCACTGGTCCTGATACCCTTCACTTGTGAAGGCTTAGTTTCTGTGGCTATTCACCCGAGTCCTTTTGACTGATTTCTCTAACGTAATTTCAGGAAAATGGAATCTTAGAGAGAGACTAGTTAGAAAACTTTAAATCTGAAGACTTACCACTTAGGTACATAGCTCATTAGAGAACAGCGATTTAAGTGGTTTAAAAATATACATCTTACAAGAAAAGTGAAAAAGAAAAACAATTGATACCAGCTTACAATTCATTAATAGTACTAGGCTCTCAAGTACAGCTAAGCAAAAAGTATTACCATGAGCTGAAATAAGACAATGTAGAGCAAATGATCCCTAAAGCATAGTTTGCCAACATTTGGATGGCTCCTCAAAAGCGTAATAAAAAATCTTAACTTTTGAAGGTTCACTTTTTAAATAGGGAAAAGTTATTGAGTAATGTTTTGAAGTTAAATATCCTTTTGTGATAAGTTAATTCGGATGCATAGACTTCTGCTACATTTTTACTGCAGCATGAACTCTACATTTTCTGAAGTCACTAAATTTCTCATTGCAGCACACAGGAAAAAGAAGATAAACTAGGAGAGGGATCAGTTTAAAAACAGCAAACTTGAAGCCCTAAGCAGCAACATGTTTCAGATGCAATCATAAAACCAAGTATTTCACCCAGGGCATGAAAAAGCAGTGGATCACCAGAAAGCAAAGAATAACAAGCCGCAAGCAGAAGCAGTAAGAAGAGGTCAGTCAGGCTTGGAACACATACCATTACTAAGGTCACTCCTCTAGGAAAAACAATAGTCTTTGTTCACATTGAGATAATATATGTACTTTTGAGAATGACAAAGTTGCCATGAAGATACACTGTTTCAAAATTTTTTTCATTCTCTGATATAACTTTACTAATAAAAAAGAGTATTACTTGTTTTAATTTTGTTGTTTATTTTTCCAGCTTTATATCCTGCAATATTAACTTGCTTGAGAGTAAAGTACCAAAAATTAACAGAAGGGCCTTGGCAATAGTTTTTCCTATGCTTGCTAACCTTCGCTATTTTTGAAATTGTGGATTCAGAATTACATATGTGTTTATTAGTAAGGTAATATAAAATTAGAGTCATGTATTAGGTTAGTTTAAAGAACTGAATGAATATTGGTACCCTTCCAGTTCAAGTATTATAGACAATGCTGTTTTCATTCACATCATTCGGGACTTGCTCCTTTCAAACATGTATTTTTAAATGTAGTACCCACATTTGTTAATGTTTGAGAACTGACAACCTGAGCATCCTCTCCATGTGCTCTGTAGCCTGCCTTTCTTGATAGGCAAACAATGTATCAAGTGTATCTGCTAATACAGTTCACATGACTGAGAGAATCCTTCGGATGTGAACATTGCAAAACGATAGTATTTAGCAGACTATCCTCTTGGCCATAAGAACATTATACTATCCAACATCTTGTTGAAGAAACTGGATTATAATTGATGTCATTTAACAAAGAGTTTTAGATGTTGGGAATATGTATAAATCCAAAGATTGAGCCTTGGCCTGTTTGGCTCAGCGGTTGAGCATCAGCCTGCGGACCACAGAGTCCTGGGTTCGGTTCCTGCTAGGGGCACGTACCATCAAAAAAAAAAAAAAAAAAGAAAGATTGACATGTCCTCTCCTAGTATCATATCTAATCAGTGGTATTTTAACACACAGCAGATGAGCACACACACACACTGCGAAATATAAGGAAAGTAAAACTGCATAATACTTGAGACTTCAAAGGCTTCCTCCCTAAATCCCCCCAAATTACATGAGCTTTCTGAGGACAAGTTTGAGAAGCACTGATTCAAATATAATAGAAAGTACTCTTTGGAGTCAATATTAGATGACAGGTTTTGATGAGCAGTTTTATACTGAAATTTAAGATACACATTCTAAAATTAAGGCCATAAAGGATTACACGTAAATATCAACCTGTCATTTGCCACTATAAATAAAACAACACAACTTCACAACTATATTAACACTGATACATTTTCTTCCCATCAAAAGTAGCTTCAGCCCTGGCCAGTTTGGTTCAGTGGTTAGAGCGTCGGCCCGGTTAGAGAGTGGCAACCAGTCAATGTGTCTCTCTCACATCAATATTTCTCTCTCTCTCTTCTCCCCTCTCTCCCTCTTGCTCTATCTGAAGATAAATGCAAAAATGTCCTTGGGTGAGGATAAAAAAAAAAAAGTAGCTTCAAACCTTACATGGCATCTTTCAGGTAAATCTACAAAAATTTTCTACCTTTATTTTTCCTTTATGTCAGGGGAATCAGAACCAGTGGTTTGCTTTTCCTGCATATTAGTGACCGAGCAAAGAACTACTCATATTTTGACCCCCTTTTTGCTCTTAAGCCAGAACCCCATTATTTACAAAAAGTCAGTCCAGTAAAAAATGGTCACATTCAGCAAATGCAGTAATTTCCTTTAAATAAAATCTCCAAAAACTTATATCCGAAGGTATATAGTTTTTATCAAAATAAAAACTTTACATTAAAATAGAAACTTTGGTGGAGTGTCTTTTCATTTTCTATTAGGAAAACTGTTAACATGTCTTTATGACCAAAGCTAAAACAATAATGAAAATAACTAGGCACAATCATTTCATTATGTGACTTTCAGAAGACGATGGGTTTGTGAAAAATTAAGGTAACAACATAAGTCACATTATGAGTAGTAGGTGGAAGAATTCACAAAAAAAGGGAGAATTCTTACTTCTCTTTAATCACCAAATTTCAGTTTTCACAAATAATCTTAGCACAATTCAGGTAACTAAGGTGTTAGGGGAGACAGTTTTACTTGTACATGAAGTACTACATGCTCCATCTTTTGTACGTAACTCTTAGGCTGGATTAACAAGCACTGTCACAGAAACAAAAAAAATTTAAAGCCATAGATCACTGCATTTATATTTACAAAAAGCCATAAATAAACATGCATTTTCTCTTTTACTTGGAGGACTTAAATAGGTGTTTGAACATTAAGGCAGTGATGATTCTAAAACATAACGAAATCCTAAGTTAAGGCTTTATGTTTGTTTTGAAATCCATATTCATAGGCAACTGTGACCAAAGCAAACTCATCTGCCCAGGATATGTTATTTATCCATTATGAACAATAATTCTATGAAATAGGAATTAGCAACACAATTTAAAGAATTATTAGTCCCCTCCTTAGGTTTCGAGGATTTAGCCTTCAGTGGCACAAGCATATGCCACAGAAGGAAGAGAGCATTTTTTTTTTTTTTTTTTGGTGAAGTTAGAAAACCTACAAGCTGCACTGACTTTTACTTGCCTGAAAGTTGGCCAACAATCAAGAATTTAGGATCTCCTAAATATAGAAAACTCCCAAAGCGTCCTTGACCACGCTCCCATTTCAAAACACAGATGTCCTTCATTATTGAAGCAATTGGTCTTCACCTCCGTTTTCTTTGAAGACTGGTTGGTATTACTCTTTCTAAACAAGCAAAGCAACAAAATGCAGAAGCTGGATCTAGTCAATAATTGTTACCCTCAAGGCACAAATAATATCCTTGTTAGAACAATGTCTTATTCAAGGAAAAGATGAGATGGATGAAAAGAAGATTCACTTTAAAATAATTGATTGTACTCTTCCCTTTCAAGCTAATGCAATGTATTGAAATTTAGGGAGGAATGGCCCTTTCCATTGTTTTTTAATCATTTAGAGGACAAAACTCAGATCCAGCCTGTGCATGTTGACCAATGGCTCCGGAGCACCCCCTGGCCTACTGAAGAGAATAGGAGAGGATGCTTGTAGGGCACACTTGATCTGAGCTAATAGGCATGATTCCACAACCCAGTGGAATGATTATTTAGACTAGAAGGATCACTATTTATACAAGTGCTTGCCACTACTACTTTAAGCCGTAATTTTACAACACGTCTTGTGAGAAAAGTACTGTACACTTAACATTGGTATCAATAACAGCTCATGTAGAGAAGGGATGGCAACGACTACATGAAAACTATCTGAAATGCTGAAGGCAGATGTAGTTTCCTTTTGTGTCTGCAAGTCCGAAGAGTAAGATGTCAAAGCAGATGAAGCTGCAAGCAGCATGAGTCTCAAACCACCTAAGCATTTAAATCTGGCGTTTAAATCTGACGGCGCAGCATGAAATTTCTCTAGGTATTACTATCAGGAAACAAGGAATTTCACAAGCACTGTCAAAAATATTTTAGGTGCAATTTAAGTAAGTCACACTTTGACTAAAATATTTTAGAGATTTGAAGTCTGTATACCCTAGTACCTTGGTAAGCTTGGCTTTAGCTGAATGACTAGATGTATTTTAAAGGTGTGAAATTCCTTTTTTTTTTTCAAATGGGAAGAGTAGCTGTGAAAGGGCAAATGTAGTCAACACAATACAATCTTTTTTAGATCAACATCTTCACTTTATAATACACTCACATTTATACACAAATTTTATGTTTACAAGTACAAAAGGCAAAACCTCAAAGAATCGAAGCAACTGCATATTAACTACATTCAACAGAGTTAATACTGTTGTTTCCACTCATTTTCTAAATCAAGAAGGAAATTGTAAATGCCGTCCCACAGGTGGACTCCACTCTTAGAAGCTGGACACTGTGTGTGGTTCTGCACACGTCTGGGTCTCTACAGAGCTGAACTGAGATTCCATCGTGTTCCAGGCCAAATCCGCAAGAAGAAAGTCATCCATTGCTGTTTGAGTCTCATTGCTGGTGAAGAACAAACTCCCCAGGGTTTCAAAGCCAGAATGCATGGTCTGTGTTTCTGTACTGTTCAACTGAACCTTGCTTTCTAGAGCAGACATATTTTTAGCAATGGACATTCCTTCAGTTTGGGTCTCTGTGTCAGATGAATCAGTACTCATGGAAAAGCTGGAGTGTTTCAGAATACTTCCCAGAGGCAGATGAGGACTACTGTCCAAAAAGAAGTTTAAGTCTGTCTGTGTCTGCGTGTCAAACATCTCAAGGCCTAAGAAGTTAGAATTTCCCCTATAACTGTAGGGCTGGGCAGAAGTGTCTGCAAGTAAGAAGTCAGTTTGGGTCTCTATGTCCAGTGATTCTAAGACTGGCTCAGTGGTCATGGTGCTAAGCTCACTCTCTTCAGTTTGAGTCTGGATATTTGAGGCCGAAAAGAACTCTTCGATATCAAAATCAATTGCAGGATTCTGGGCTGGGCCAGATGGGAGCTGGGTGTCAGGTCCAGTATTCGTGTCAGACAGAAGACTACGATTGTCCAGTGTCTGACCAGGCAGATTACTTGACAAGATGTTTTCTAAATCACTTAGTAAATCTATAGTTTGGGTCTGATTATCTGTCATGTTCTGTGAAGGAAGCATGCTGTTCTGTGCACTGAAGTTTATATCTGGTGCAGATTTCTCAATAGCCTGACTTAAACTCTTAGGGTGGTTCTGAGGTAACAAGCCGTGAGTAACAGTCTCTCCTACTAAGCTGCTGCTTATAATACTGTCTGTAGAAACACCGTATGATGAGTGGACATTCTCAAAAATGTCTCCACACATTACAGCTTGGTCCATGTGTACTGTGTCATCTGCTGAACTTTGCATTCCACTGGTTTGAGTTTCTCTGGAGATCCCACCTGACTGGAAAGAGGCATCTAAAAACGCATCAGTCTGAGCAGCTATGGTTGAAGTGATCTTAGAACTGGGCAAAAACGTTTGAGTCTGAACACTAATGGGAAGGGAAACTTGAGAACCAAATGTCAAATCAGTTTGAGAACAAGATGATACAGAGGAATCAGGGCTGATCCACTGTGCAGATGGTATAAAGTGTTGTGTGGCATAAGACAGATCTGTCTGTACGTTGATTGAAGAAATATTGTTCTTCTGACATGTGTTCCCTAGTTCATGTAGAGGATTAGATGGACTTTTACCCAAGTTCACTTGAACACCTGTACTAATTGGCTCAACAGCAATAGGATTCACCATTTTTGAAAGAGGGAGGCTCTCCTTAAGAGAGCAGGCCTCTGAATCAAGGCCGAGGATCAGAGTTCCTACTGGTAAGGGCAGTAAGTGCACAGCGCTTGTGGCAGAGCCCTGATGATCAACACCTAACACCACAGGCTGGGCTGAGGAGTCAGCTGTAGGCACAAAGACAGGCATCGGAGAAAACTGCATAACGGGCAGTTTAACCAAAGCCACTCTGGGCTTTGGTAAAAGCAACTTCTGAGGATATTTCGGAGCTGTTGTAAGAGTCTGCTTCTTGGCATTAGAGCCGCAAGAGTCTTCAAAAGAAGTGACTAGTTTTATTTCTGAAGTTTCTAATTCCTGGGTGTCTGGTCTTGGGGTTGGTTTGTTACTCAATGATTCAGTGGTCTTATTGGACAACTTCTGGTTGTGCAGGCAGTTTTCCATTTTCCTTTTCTTACCAGGTGGATCCCTGAAAACAATGACAGAGTAAAGGGAGGTCAGCCCAGTGAAGAGAAATCCCTTCTTTTGCACCTCTTTGAGAACTGGGTCTGCTCTATGGCAGGCAGAAGTTCAGAAACAAGCAAATAGGGAAGGCGGAGGCATACCATTTTGGGGGTGGGGGTGGGGTACAGCTCTAAGTACTAGAACTCAACTTAGATCTGTAAGCATAAGGAAGCTAACAAATTATATAACGCAACTTTTAACATTTCTAAAGTAGGAAGTTAGTACCCACATATAAATTTGACCTTTAAAATGATGTAGTTTCATGATAAGGGATCCTCAAAAGGAGTTGGCAGGCAGAAAGAATAAGAACTGGGTCGAGTAGACATGGATCCTTTGGTAGCACTGCTGCCATTTCCGAAAGTCCCCTTCTTCCACGTCTCATCTTTTCTCCACTGTCCCTCCTTCCTAATGGCTTTCCAGGAAGTTTCATTTGAAACCCTTCCCACAGCTACTGACTTTTGGGCCACCATTTACCTGTGCTCTGCAGGGATCTCATGGCCAGTTCGGTAAACGTGGGACTGTAATGCAGTTCTACTGGCATAGGGACAGCCACACGTGCACTGGAAGGTCTTGCCACAATCCTCTGCATGTCTTTTCAAGTCCCATTCAGTGCCATATGAATTGCTGCACTTACTACATTTATGCTTCTTTTCAGCGTGCATTTTCATAAAGTGCTAGGAAGAATACAAAGGGACCAGAATGAAAAACTGCAATTGCTCAAAACATTTCAAAAACCATTAATTTACCCACATTAACAATGATTTTAGATGATAAAACATAGCAGTCCAAATTAAAAGAATGTAAAAGCAGGCAAACTGCAGCTGATCACATGCCTCTTCATCCTATCACTTCTGCTTTGTGAAAAGTGCAGATGGGTTTGGAATTAAGTGCTGCAGGCAGAATAGAAGGTCTTCGCAATACTTTTCATAGGACCCTCCTCCAGCAAACCCTCAGGGAAGTATTTCAGCTGCCAATCCCTTCCAGTCCTGAAGCACCTCTTTCCCTGGATGCTGGGCCCCTCCCTCCTCTTACGGTGGCTGCTTCTGAAATTTTTCTTCGACTGCATTCTGCACTTTCTTACTCCTTTGGGAGAACATTTCCTTTGTGCCTTTGCTTGTCTGACCTTGAAGGCATATATATTCACACAAGATGTATGAAGTATACATCTTCTCACTCCTTAAATCGGTCGTTTTTTCTTTCTCTCTGAACCCGCTTCTGGACATCTTCCAGGAGACTTGTGGGCAGCTGTCCTCACAAGCAACTTTCTGCTCAATTCTCTAGTTATTTTATTTTATTTTTTTATCCTCACCTGAGGATGTTTTTCCATTTTTTGTTCAGATAGAGTGGGAGGGAGAGGGAGAGGGAGAGAGAGAAACATCGACGTGAAAGGGACACATCGAGTGGTTGCCACCCGCACAACCCAACTAGGGTCAGGGACAAACTGCAATCGAGATACGTGCCCTTAGCGGGAACCGAACCCTGGTCTCTCTGGACCACAGGCCAATACTCTAACTGCTAAGCCAAACTGGCCAGGGCTCTAGTTATTTTTGATAAGTAGAATGCACACTAGGTTTATACCATTTGCACTTAATTCTCAGACAAGTATACTTAAGAAAAGTAAAATACCTGTTTTACAAGAGAAAATTGAGAAAATGGCCTGTCAGGGCCTCTAGGGCATCCTTCAATTGGACAACAGTAGAATTTCGGTACGGTTTTCAAATCTTTTCTTATTGTTGGATTTACTATGCCATCCTGAAAAAGAAAAATTTCTTTAAATAATTATTTTCAAAAAATCAATACAACAGGCAAGGAGTGAAAACGAGGAATGACAAAAGATGGGAACAAGGGATCTTTTTTGGAAGCTAAAAATATTCTAAAATTGAATTGTGGTGATGATTGTACAATACTAAAATAATTGAATTATTCATTTAAAATGGGTAAATTTTATGGTGTGTCAACTATAGCTCAAACTATTTGTTTAAAATTCTATTCATTCCTTTAAACTATCCATTCTAAACCTATAATCTCTGCTCTTTGTGAATGAAATAGGGGCTCTGTAATAAATCTAACTGAAAGTAACCTCACAGGGTGATCTGATCATAAATTCCTAACTGGACAGGTCAGGGTAGTAGTCATGCCTCAGGTCTATAACTTCCCTAGTAAACGTTTTATTTTTGCCTTAAGCAAGCCTTGTCCATTGTTTTTGTGCATCTAGATTAGCATACCTTTGAAATGCCTTTTTCATCCCTCAGATGTATAATCACCCTCAAGAGTGCACAGTCTGGCTAACTATCCTATAACCCAATCACAAAGATTTCCCTGCCTTGCTTTCTCCCACTTTCCTGTAATCTTCCTTGTGTTCCTTCCATAATCCCAAATGTATAAAAGAAACTGCAAATGTTATTCTGGGAAGCATTTTTCTCAGTCTGTTGAGATTTTACTTCCAGGCATATCTCGTTTGGGGCATGTAAAGTCTTAAAAAAGTCATACAAATTTTCTACCGGTTCTTAGTCAACACCTTAAAGCCACCTTCTCTATTTGCAAGTGGTATATTTACAGTTCATCAGGTTCAAGATTTCTGTATCATCCATAAGTCTTCCCTTCCTTTTATCAAACACCCAGTGTCTTAGTGTGAACTCCTGAAAAAGCCTCCTTTGACTATGATGTTGGCCTTCCTGATAAATAGCATTGTGACTTTCTCTTATCATACTGCCTCTAAAGTAGCTAAAGCTATTTGACACAACTTTTATATAGCATGCTATGTTTGAAATCTAATAATTTTTTTAATGGCCTGTACTAATATAGCGTTTACTACAGTGTCAGGCACTGTTCTAAGTACTTTATATATATTAACTCATAATCTAAATAGTTCTTTCTTATTAAGTCTGTGATTGACGTTTTGGCTATGAGTTTTCAAATAATCGGTAAGTTAATTTAGCCTGAAGTGCTCTATCTTGTTGCCCTTGATGACATACTTTGTTAACATACCTCAGGTGTGAGATCCCTGATGCCCTCCAGTATACCCTGTCTAATCTCCTTCCAGGTGGCCCTAAAGGAAAGTGGGAGGTGGCAGACCTCTCCACAGGTCACCGGAAACAACAGGACATGTGCTCAGGCCTCAGCTGCGCAGCACCTAGGTATTCTGGATCTCCAGTGTTCTGATGAGAAAGGGTTCATTACTTTTGGAACATGCGCACCTCCTCCTTTCCCATCAGTGTGTAAACAAAGAAGGGAGAAATTAATAACTGCCTGGCTAGGACTCCTTCCCTTTGCTTTTTCCTTGGATCTCAGGTGGAACATGTTGGTCTTGTTGGGTCTGTGTCCATTTATTCAGAGGGGAGAAGAACCACTCCTGTTTTATTTTTCTTTTCTTTCTTTTTTTTTGTTGGTACGTGCCCCTAGTGGGAACCAAACCCGGGACTCTGGTCTGCAGGCCAACACTCCAACCGCTGAGCCAAACCAGCCAGGGCTCCTGTTTTATTTTTAAACAGCGCAATTTACCTTTCAGTGATATCATATTCAGTCAGTTATTCCTCCATGTCTTCCACATTGGACTAGCCTTTTATAATCCTACTGGACTACACTGTCTAGATATTCATATGCATCTGGATTATTTATATGGTCTCCTAAATAATTTTCCTTCCTATTCTAAAGTTAAAAGAAGTCTAACATTCCAAAAAATTATTTGTATATATCACCTACTGCTTTTAAAAAAAACTCCTCACCTGAGGATATGTTTCCATTGATTTTGAGAGAGAGAGGAAGGAAGAAGGAGAGAGAAACATTGATGTGAGAAACGTTGATCTGGGGATTGAACCCACAATCCAGGCATGTTCCCTGAACCAGAAATCAAACCCATGATCCTTCAGTGCATGGGACGATGCTCCAGCCAACTGAGCAACACCAGCCAGGGCTCATCTAATGTTCTTTTTAAAAAAGTATGTAAAATAAAACCCCAACTCGCTATGTCTCCAATCTACCTTTTAACCATATCGTTTTCTGTTCCCCTTTTGTACACTACCCTACTCAGCCTAACACTGTTCCCACTTCCAATTCCACCTTCTATATCCACTCCTGGAAGACTGTCCTTTGAAGGCCTAATCTGTCCCACATCTTCCTGTCTCCCTTCAGGTAGAATGCAATGGTGGACAGAGCACTGTGGCTATAAGCCATTTTTACCGCTGATTTGTGGTGTGGCCTGGACAGGGTCTTTAACCTCTCTGAGCCAGTTGACCCATTTCTAGAACAGAATAGTTAACTCTCAGGATCATCTTGTATTGGATTAGCATAGAGCCTAGCCCATATCACTTTCTCAATGAACAGCACTCCCTTGTTCTGCTCACCACCCAGATCTAAAGATCTAGTTCTTGAATGAATTCCAAGATAGAACCTAACTTAAGCTATCTTAAATACTATCATTTTCTTCCAGAGTTCCGGTCTCTCCAGCTAAATTCCTTAGGAGCATAAACTATTTTATGTACCTCTTGGTACTGCCTTCATGTTTAAAGAAGAGAGCAACTACACGCTAAATGCAGAGCATTTGTAGAACAGGCCATCAGTCCAGCGTAGGGCAGTGATCTCAACCCTGGTGGCCTGTAAACAGTCATTCACTTGAGGCACTAAAAAACACCTATGCCTGGTCCCAACCTCGGGTATTCTGATATAATTATATTTGGATGGAGATCAGAGATCTATATTTGGTCTTAAAATCTCCCCAGATGATCCAAATGTGTAGCCTTAGCTTAAGAACCACTGGTATAATGGTTAAACCCGTGGGTTCTGGAATAGGAACTGCCAGAGTTTAAATTCTCTGCATTATCACTTTCCTGCGACTGAAAAAATTAACTGTCTTGGTTTCTTTACCTGTAAAGTAGGCATAACAACAGGACCTACTTCAGGGTTGTTGTGAGAGTTTAGTTAATAATGTATAGGGCTTAGAACAGTTCTTATCACATAATCACTCAATTATTTATTATATAGCTATTAGATATTTGTTGTGGATATTTTTGTTTCTTTTTTCTGCTTTTGTCAAACAACTTAATGCCAATAAGCTAATCTAAACTAGTTCTTTACATTAAATATTGTCCTGTATAAGCCTCCTGAAATGTTTGTTAAAACACTGGCATCTAGGGGAGAGAAGGAAAAAACTAAACAAAACAAACACCGCTAGCATCTGCTGGCTTTAGTAACAACTAACACTGTCTCTCATCACCAAACTCATCCCATTCACCAATTCATCTACTGTTTTCAATGAAATAATTTTAATTAACTTCTATATTTTCTCTCTGGTGTTATCAGTGAAAGAAAATAAAATGTGGGGAGAATATTAAGGAATACTCTAAAATCCTTCCTTCACTTGACCGTTACTAAATTCTTCCTAGTTATATGCCAGGGAGATGGCCCCCTTCTATGCTCTAGGCTGTCAACTGTTCCATGAAACTTCCTATGGGGGCACTACAAAATTCATGCTCACTTCTAATACACCCTCAACTCTGCTTTGTAATCTTTTTAGTATTCCTTTTTGGACTCCCTATCATGTTCTCATATACCTGTTCACTTAAAAAATATTAATAAACTTTATATTTTTAGAAAAGTTTTAGGTTCACAGCAAAATTAGGTGAAAAGTACAGAGTTCCCATATACCCCATGTCCCCAAACATGTACAATCTGTTCCACTATTAACTTCCCCCACTAGAGAGGTACATTTGTTTCACTATCACCCAAAGTCCACAGTTTATATTATAGTCTACTGTTGGTGTTGTACATAATATATATATAATGTACAAATATATATATAATGACATGTAAAAATCCTGTGCTCTGCTGATTCATAACACCCTTCTCCTTAAACCCTGGTAACTATTAATCTTTATACTGTCTCCATAGTTTTTGCCTTTTCTATAGTTCAAATCATATAGCATCTAGCTTTTCCCAAATGTCTTCTTTTACTTGGTAAGATGTATCTAAACTTCCTCCATGTCTTTTCATGGCTTGAGAGCTCACTTCTTTTTAGTGCTGCTAATATTCCATTGTCTGGATGAATCACGATTTACCCATTTACTGAAGGACATCTTGGTCGCTTCCCAGTTTGGCAGTTATTCACTCCTCTTTTCAAATGTCTCCTGTCACCTCCTCACCTTTCCTTTCTCACTGCTACCATCATTATTCAAGTTCTCCTGACTCTGAACTGTGTCATCAACCTCTTAACTCATTTCTAGACCTTCGATCTCTTTTTCATTTCAATCTGTCAGATTCACCCTGGCCGGTGTGGCTCCTTGGTTGGGCATGGTCCCATGCACCAAAGATTGCTGGTTCAATTCCCAGTCAGGATGGGAGGCAACCAGTAGATGTTTCTCTCTTTCCCCTCTTTCTCAAATCAATAAAACAACCCACAAACACTATATTTTAAGCCCAGCTGATGAGGCTCAGTGGTTGAGTGTCAACCCATGCACCAAGAAGTCACTGTTCGATTTCTGGTCAGGGCACATGCCTGGGTTGCAGGCTCGATACCCAGTAGGGGGCGTGCAGGAAGCAACTGATCAATGTTGATGTTTCTCTTCCATCAATATTTCTCTCTCTCTCCTTCTCCCTTCCTCTCTCTGAAATCAATAAAAAACATATTAAAAACAAATAAAAATATAGTAAATATGTCAGATTTATCTTTCTAAAGTATAGCTCCCATCATGTCATTACCTTACTCAAACATTTCAACAGCACCCCAAAACTACCCAGGTCCAAATTTCTTTAGCCTGGGACATTCATGTCCCTTACCATATAGCTTCAAAATACCATGCTCTTCTGTCATTTCTGTCATAGTTAACGAAACTAATTATAATTCCACAAACCTTTTCAAGGAAAGGAATATATTTGTATTTTCTGTTGCATTTGGGGCTGTTTTGAATAATAAATGTTAAATAAAAACTTGTGGCATTATACTGAATATATTCAAATGGCCATTGAAGCCAAAAGTGCATCACGCATCAGGATGAAACACTAAAGACAGCCATATCGGACATCAACAACCTCCGTGTCGCTGTTATTACAGGCATGGCAACAACCCGACACTGTTCACTTTCTGACTTTCTGAGGGCCAACGCCTCAGCTCTGGAAATCACCACCTCTCCACCCCAGTTTCTGGGCCTTCTTCCCATTCTTGTTCCGAGACAATAAGCTCAAAGGGGAGGCTGGATGAGATGAGAATAAGGGAGATAAGAAATGGTGATGGCACAAGAAAACATGAAGTGAGAAAGTGATGTTTTTGTTTTGAATGTCTACATACATGTAAGAACAAACTTGATCAGATGTTTTATACTTTATCTTTTGTGTACATAACTGAAAAAAATATACAAAAAAAAGTATTTTGGGGTATCTGTTTATGAAACATTTAAAAATAAAAATAAACATTTTATAAGATGTTCATGAAACATTTTAAGTAAAAGAATTTGAAAAAGAACCCATGAGAGAAAACAATAAAAAAAATAAACAAGATGGAAAAAATTAAACATACAGAAAAGAAAAGCAAGAGGAAGGACACAAATGAAGATGAGAGAGTAAAAGAAAAGGATTGTAATAATCAAGGCAAAATATAAAAAGACAAAAAAAAAAAAAAGGCATTATAGCTACTCTAGCACCTGAGTGCCTTCGCAGAAAAGCATCCAAGAAGAAAACTAGTTCGATATGTTGTATTCTTACCGTAAACTTAAAATAGGGAGTCTTTGTACAATATGGTCTATAAAGCAATTTGGAGCTGTTCCTTTCCTTTGCTTTTAAAAAAACCTTCCTGGCAAATCATTAAAAGTATACTCCTGGGCTAAACACAATACTAAATCCTCTAAGCCATGTTTTAAAAATATGAATGTTGCTGGATAAGAGGTTCTTGAAGGGGCCTCCTGTCCTTTTCACTGCTTTCAAACACAATGAATAAAAAAATTTCTAACAATCAAGAAATGGCCATTTACTCCTATTATTACTATTCCTTTCCCTGAATCACCAGCTTTCATTTCTCCATGGATTCCCCACTACAGGCAAGGATCAACTAGGATATTTCCAGATTTCCTTATAGGATACAACATATATAGACATATATCTTAAAAACCCACATAAAACCAAAAGGCAGCATATACCCTTTACTTACAATCCCACTCTTATCCATCATCCTTCAGAAGGGTTTGTTAATCATTTATGTTAAGGAATATTTGGTTAGGGGCAGGGTATCCTATGAAGAAAGATTAGAATAGAATTAGAACCACACAGCAACTAATGGGGAAGGGAATAAAACAATTGCAATTAGAAAAACAAAACAAAACAAAACAAAAACCTAGGAGAGAAACTAGATTTATGCAAGTAGCTGTACCCAAGAGAATGAAAGGGAAAATTTCCACTGAGTACTGTGCAAATGTGCCAACCAGATATACACAGACTAGCTTCAGAGCAGAAAGTAGGTAAGTAGGTACACAATTGAGCAGTAGTGAGGTCTCTGGTCTAAACAACTTTCAAAACCACAGGGACACCCAGTCAGCTCTTGTCCACAGGCCTCCTCCTTCCAACACTTTGAAAACCTCACGTGTTAAAAGTAATGTTTGAATTCAAGAGCCTCTATTCAGGATCCAGACTGAGGGTATATATTCTGGGGCGCTACCACTGACATGGCTATTTTGTCACAGAGGCCACTTTCATTAAAGAAAATGATCCCCTTTCCTTTCCACGAAGACAGCAAATGCTCAGAGGCTGCTGTGTACCATGGTTAGAAAGGCAGAATAAAGTTAGGAAAGTGAATCTGTTTGACAAGGAAAAAACCAATGATGGTTGTTGGTGAGGTTTCTTTAATTCCTGGGGAAACAGGTCTCCCTAGCGACTTAGGAAGGAAACTCAGAAAAGTCCATTTTTTCCATTGTTCAACATTTTTAGTTCAGAAAGGGATCTTGAGTTCACTGTGCCGTCTTCAGAAAAGAGAAATCTGAAAAAGGAATCTGACTAGAACTGGAAGAACAATTTTACACAGGTTCTACGCAAGGCAGGAGACCGATACTATGAAATGCCTAAGTCTAAGTAAAGATCTGTCAAAGTTTGTATTTTCCTCAAACATATTCCTCCTTTAGGCCTATTCTATTTTCTGTATTAGTATATTAGAATTCCTAAACTTTACCTATTTTAAATACATAATTGGAAAGAAACTTGTTATATACATACTAGCAAAGTCCTGAAGAGTACGTGCTATCTTCATGCTTAACAGATGCTTCATAAAGTCTTGAGATATGGAGAGCTCCAGACAGCAACTCCAGAGAAAAGAACAATATGAACTGTTAAGTGCATCCTAGAGTGATGCTCGGGCCAACACAAGGCCGGTCCTCCTCAGACTGGCAGCTTCATCTGTGCTCAGAGATGTAAGGTCCACCTCAGCTGTCTACCAGTGAGGGGATGATACTGAAGGTGGGTGATGGCTCTTGTATATGAGCTAAAGAGAACCAAGGGATCAGGCTGTAGAATTCCTACAAGTGTGTACTCATCCACTCAAGTTAAAATACAGTTAAGGAAAGGAAGGATTTCGTTAAAATTCAGCATGAAAGAGAAGCCCATTCCCAGTTACTTCGCTTGTATCCCGCAGGAAACCAACCCCACACTATCCTGAGAACTGCAGCCCCACCTGCAGGGTCTTCCTCAGCAAACCTCTACGTACATTTCCTGTCTGGGGTTCCTAATCTTCATGAGGACGCCGTTGCATCTCTGTTCATCTCCTTTTAAAAGGAGATTACCCTTCATGGGCAACACGTCTGCCCTTTTAGACTTTCTGCTGCTAAATTCTTATCAGAAGCCTGATACTAAAGAAGTTTCCAAGGAGAATTTACCTGGGGATAGATAGAACAAGCAATATACTAGGTAATTTAAACTTTCTCCTTAATCAATTCAGACTGGCAAAAGCTACATACATATTCACAAAACTGCTTTCAGTGACTTGGGGTTTCGAGTTATGTCACTGTTGGCAAAGAAAGATTCTAAGTGGTGGAAGGAACCCTATTGTAATGTCTGAGAAATTATAATTTAATAGGTCTGTGTGGGACCGAACATCTGGATCGTTAATAAGCTTTCCACAGATGTGCATTAAAGGTGGACAATCGCCGCCCTATTTTGCACAAGGTGGAAGGGATGCTGAGGCCATTAGTACACCGCGCTCCCTCGTAAAGCCGATCCACCGGGGAAATTTCCCTTAGGTCTCATTCCTGCAGATTTTATCGACATTGAAACTGGTAACTGCAGAGCTCAGCCGATCTGCAGCGAGATGCCCTGGAACAGGGCAGGACCCAGACCGAGGACCAGGTGTGGGCGTGGTGGGGAGAACACCGGCTTCAGGACCAGGGGCCAGGTTGAAACCCAGCTCTGCTCGGGTTTCGCAACCTGCTTCTCATCGGTGGAGTGAGGCCGACACGTCCGCCTCACCACGTCGCAGTGAGAAGTACCGAGGGAAGTGCCGGGCCGCGACATCGGAGGCCGGTAGCGGCTGGTCCGAGCCTGACAGCCGAGCCGCATGACACAGTGCTTTCCCATTATTACGTTTCCCCCCTCGCTGCCACCTTCCCGGCCCGGCGCGCTCCTCGGGCGGGCCCGTGCGGTGCCCTGGAGCCCCTCCGGTGCCGGCCGGCGGACCCGGGCCGCGCCGCCCTGGAAGCAGGACCTGCGCCCACGCCCCCGAGCGAGGCGCTTTGTGGGCGTCAGGCCCGAGGAGGCGCCGTCCCGCGGCGGGCTCACCTGCAGGCGGTGGCTCTTGACCAGGTGCATGTTGAGCGCGGGGCTGTTGGGCAGGATCTTGCCGCAGCCGCGCACGGTGCACAGGATGTTGGTCCGCACGGCCCGGGATAGCTCGCTCACCGACGGCTGGATCAACTCCCCAGCCGGCAGCGCTGGACCCGCGGGCTGCTGCCTCGCCGTCGCGGGCCGAGGCCGGCTGCCCTTCAGCCGTCCAGGTGGCCCCCATAGGCCCGAGGCGGCGGCGGCTCCCCTGGCGGCCCCCGGGACGGCCGAGGCGCCCGAGGCCAGAGCCGCAGGTCCCGCCGCCGCCGCCTCAGAAGCCGCCATGGCTCCCGCACAGCAGCCTGGCCCTGCTCGTAGGCCCCGCCTCCCGCCACTGCCACTTCCGGCAGGGGGCGGGGACGCCGGGCTTATTAGCATCCGGCCTAATAAGCCCCCTGCCGGCATTGACATGCACATCAGGTGAGGCGGGAGGATTGCAAAATTTAACTGGGATTTCTATGGACAGGTAGAAGGTATTGGTTCCACTGATCCATTCTTTGCTTTCCTAGAAACCTGACCTCAGGCAATAGTTTCTTTAAAAAGTAATGCCTTCAGAAACTTCACTTCTCAAAGATTAGAAACAACCCAAACGTTCAACAGTAGGACAGGCAACATTGTTAATTACAGCTAGATTTTATTTACGGTTTACCATGTACCAGGCACTGAATGCACTTTTCACTTAGTGTCTCATTTTGTCCTCAAAACAACCTAGTGGGTATGCACTGCAAGTTTTCCCCGTTTTAGTCAGTCCTAGGTCACATTTTACAAACAAAATTGTTATAATTGACAGTTAATCATTTTAGGGGGGCTGGATTTACTTGCCTGTATGTTGATAGATGAGATTTGATACTATTTGGGAGACAGAGTAGCTCAGAGCAGGGTTCTAAAACCTAAGTACTTAGAGGGACTAGGTAGGTCATGTAAATGAGATCAGTAGGTCAAGTGTAGACAAAAGACAGGGGTGAGGGCTGCAGTGAAATGACAAATACATTCTTTGTTTAAAGGGGAGCAACTACTACCCATCTTTATCACTAGATTTGTTTTTCAAGATTTTTATGTGAAAACATCCAAGTTTTGTGTGTTAGTATCTGTATTAGTTTTCTATTGCTGCAATAACAAATTACCACAAACTAGTGGATTAAAACAGTTTTGTTATTGTTGAAGGAACTCAAAATGAGCCTGGAGGCTTTGGCTAGAAATGAATGATAAAAGCTTATTATTCAAGGGTCTTGGAGTTTGCAAACTGGGTACACAGTAAGGCAAGAGTGTTCCAAAGAAAGAAAAGTTAAGAGTTCTTATAGTAAAAAATACATTCTTGAGAATTATCAGCCCTGCATTCTTTTTTTTAATCCTCACCCGAGGACATTTTTCCATTTTTTGTTCAGATAGAGCGGGAGGGAGAGGAAGAGAGAGAGAGAGAAACATCGATGTGAAGGGACGCATCGAGGGGCTGCCACTCGGCCGGGGACAAACTGCAACCGAGGTAAGTGCCCTTGGCGGGAACTGAACCCGGATCTCTCTGTACCGCAGGCCTACGCTCCAACCGCTGAGCCAAACCAGCCAGGGCCAGCCCTGCATTCTTAACCATAGGATTGGTCCAGGATGGTTTACAGTCAGATGTCAGGCAGACACGTTGATGGATGCCAGGAAGTTTGGTTACATCCTGTGGTCTGGATAATGAATGTCAGGTGGATGTATATGAGTCCTTCAGGGGGTAATCAGGTAGTCTGGGTACCTGAGCCTTTCAGGGGATAATCAGAGGGTTATCTGGAAGTTCATTTGTAAATCCAGGCATTGAAGCAGGACTGGAAAGTTAAAAAAAGTTTACGTTCCTAGGCTACTTAGAATAAGAATGGAATCTTTCATGTCTCAGCCTTCATGTTAATAATTTTAGCAGCTTGGTTAAAATGACTCCATTTTATATATTCCCTATCTTCACTCCTTTCTTATTATCTTACATTTCTGGAGATCAGAAGTCTAAAATGAGTCTGCTAGGCTAGGATCAAGGTGTCGGCAGGGCTGCATTTCTTCTGGAGGCTCTACATAAGAATGTTTACTTGCCTGTTCCAGCTTCTCGAAGTCAGTAATGGTGAGCCGAGTCTCATATCACTCCAATTTCTTCAGTAGTCATATTTCCTTTTGCTCTCTTCTCTTCTCTTCACTTTTTGAGTACCCTAATGATTACATTGAGTCCATTCAGGAACTCTGCCCATCTGCAAAGTCCCTTTGCTTGTAATGTAACATATTTACAGATTCCAGGAATTAGGATGTGGGCTTCTTTGAACAGGGGGATATTATTCTGCCTACCACAGTAACTAATTCTGTTTAAAAGGTACTGTGGGCCTAAAACACACACACACACAAAAAAGCCCAACCAACCAAACAAACCCACAGCTATGTGTGGGATAGGATCCATGGGCTATTGTTCTTTCCAGCATGATGTCTACGAATGCAGGCTCTGAGGTCCGACTGCTTGTGGTTATCATGGGCTCAGCCACTTACTAGCCTAAACTGTTATTCACTTAAGTAGAATAAAACTAGTAATGCTGCCTGCCTTATAGGATTGTTATGAAAATATGATAATGCATATAAAACACTTAGCACAGTGCATGCCATATATTTAAGTGCTCAATAAATGTTAGCTATTATTCATTTTTGGAGACCCTACCTAAGGTAAAATTAGGTTAAGATTCCTAATTAGAAAAAATTTAAAAATCCCACTGCATTATTCTGAAACAATTCCCTTTACCTAATTTTACAGTAGGCAGTAAATTCCTTTGGCTATAGAAGTCCTCAGATGTGTGTTTACTGCTCCATCTTTTCCCAAGACTGCATTTGAAAACAGTATGTGTCTCTGGACCATCAAGCACATAATAGGTAAGAGTTTCATGTTTTCTCATTTCCTTAAGCAAGTGCCTTGGTCTGGGAGGGCCTCAGGGTGCAGCCACAAGTGGTTCCACTACAGGCTGGATAACATGATTAGCATCTTCCCATTCAGGTTCTAGTTGCACATTCTTGCCAAGCACCAGGGAGGACTGAGAGTTGTAAGAAGCTAATCCAGGAACACGAAGCACCTCTGTGCAAATCTAAGACAGGCATTCAGGCACCGAGCAGAAATGCCTGCCCCGTGTGCACTGATGCTTTAAACCACCAGTATGATCTATAAGGAAATTAGCATTATTAAACCCCTGCAGACTCAGACACACCGAGATAAAGTGTCTTTGCCATTGCTAATTAAATCTAAAAACATTTTTCACACAAGCTACCTACCATTGTAGAAAATACCATTGTTTTATAAAGCATATTTTAACTTTTTTCTGACTCTATTTATATATCTGTAAGCCTCTTTTTGATTTTCATCAAAAGTAACTTGTGTATGGGTTTTTAAATATCTTTATTCACAAATCAGTATAAAATTGGTCAGTTTGAATGTCATATATATGATAAAATAGACTATGAAAAGTATATTTACTATGAAAAGTATATTTACAATGAAACCATTATTTTATATAACTGAATCCTCTGATACGCTATTTCCTGCAAAAGTAACTTAATGGACCCAAGCCTACTCTCTGAAGGTACCAATTTTATGATTCTCCTAGGAAGTTTTGAGTTGGGTATAGTTTCTTAGTGATCTAAATGTGACCTAAAGCTCAAGAGAAAAATTCCTGAAAGCCATCAATTGAAACCAGACCTCTCTAGGATTGAGGAGAGACAGGTGTGAGAAAAAGGACATCTTGTCACTTCTTAAAGGTCCATAACCGTTATGCTTTGCAGGGTATGGGGGAGAGGGAGCACACAGTGGAAGAGGAAAGAATCATTCCCAACAATTATATTGAACATTTCTAAACTGTGATTATTAAGGGTTCATGTCTAAAACAAGTTTTTAGACAGAAACTAGCTAGCTAGCCATGAAGTGAAATGTGTATGCAATATAGTCAGGGAGATGCAATGCTTACAAAACCACATACATCTTATTTATCTTTAATTTTAAAATAATTCATTCTCTTTTGGGGTATGCAAGTGAGCAATGGAGAAAGTGGTGCATCTGCAATACCTGAAATTAAAAAAAGAAAAAGAAGAGAAAATGAAAATAATCACGGGGCAAAGATCGGAGTCACTTTAAAAATGAGTAAGATTAGAGTGTGGATCATGGACCCCCATTAAGTGCAGAAGCAGAATATGCAAAATAGACCAGACTGGCCATGAGAAAGTTCAGAGGTAATTAGTCAGCAAAGAGAGGTTTGAATGTAGTATGTTGTTAATTCTTCTAGCTTGCAAACTAAACTGAATACTTACCTGCTGGTGCTAAGAATTTCAATGCTTCCAGAAGATTCGGGCTAGAGAATTTTACTAGGCATCGGAGGGGTTCTTTTCTTTCTGCCAAAATGCCCCCATTTAAGTCACTTTTGAATTTCGTTTCAAGCTGTCAACAAATATATTTATAAATGACTATTAAATACATCGGCTGGAATGGCAAAATATAACAAAATCAGATTACTCATTTCATTAATCATTATCATCAAGAAATATAGGGGTTAATGAGTGGGGAAAGCATGAATTTGCTAATTGCAAACGTAGAGGGCAACCAGCACATCAAACAACAGCACACACGAAACGCCAAGCATGCACAGTGCCCGACACACCGGAGACCTTGGATGTCAGTTCCGCCCACGGGTGCCCTTTTTTGCATTCTTAATGGAAAATTAGCACTATCTTTTGTAACCTGTTATTTCAATATAAAAATGTCCTGTCTTTTGAATCACTACTATGATTTGTTTTTTACTTCTGATTATGTAAGATTTCAAAAACATACAAAAGTAAGGAACACAGTATAATGAGTCTCATGTGAATATCACCCAGATGCAACAATTATCAACTCATGGTCAGTGTTTTTCATTTATTACCCTATCCCACCTCCCATTTCCTACAGCCCACCGCCAGTGGATTATTCTGAAGCATATCCAGGGACACCATAGTATTCCATCTGTAAATATTTCAGTGTATATCTAAAAAACAACTAAAAAGGGCTTTTTTTCACCATAACATTACCACACATAAAAAAATTAATATCATCAAATATCCAATATTGCTTCTTCAATAGGAACTTGGTTCTTAGAATCTAATTTCAAATTTTTTTTAACTTAAACTTATCCTTCACATTTAGAGGCAGCATGCTGAAATATCTGGAGGGTGAGGAGTGTCTGCAACAAATTCAAATGGTTCAGAATAAAGAAAGAAAAAAGAAGAAAGCAGTTGTGGCAAGGTGTTAACAATTGGTAAATCGAAGCAAAAGGGACATGGATATTCAGTTTTCTGAAGGTTTGACATTTTTCAAAATAGGAAGGTTAGGGAAAAATTAGTAGCAGGTATGTATCAATGTGCACCTTGACTTATAGAAGACAGCCATTCTAAGAAGTGTGTAAAGGGAAGTTTTGCAGATTCAATCTTACATATACTCCCTCAGTGGGTCTCTAACTTTAGCGTGTAAAATTAGCTAGAGGGCTTGTAAAACCAGATGGCTGGGTCCCACCTCCAGAATTCCTGACCCAGTAGGACTAAAGTGGGGCTAAGAATCTGCATTTCTTATCTATTCCCAGGTGATGCTGGTACCGTTGGTCCAGGGAACACACTTTGAGAACCAGTGTCCCATAGTATGAACTGTTTAAAGGAACTAGATCAAAACCTGCCATTCAGGGAACCAAACTTAAAAGGTGTCAATCAGCTATTTCCACTAAAAAAGATCAAACCAAGTAAGCATTAGGCCTATATGAGCAGATCAATGACAGATTTCAAGTGTGGCCTGTAGCTGTAGGGGCACTAAGCAGGAAGAATTTTATTGTAAGAGGGTTTAGGGGGAGGAGAGTGCGGTATGAGCATGGGTATTAGATTAGGGTGATCATGATATAACCTTGAATTCTTGTGTGGTGGCAATGGCTTGTCCCCCACACTGGCCTTCCTGGTGGGCAGTGCACATTTCTGGAATGAGCCAGGTTTATACTAACTAGGCTACTGTTTTTTTCTCCAAGTGATACCAACTGGGCTATATAATGACTTATTTATCCACTCTTATTGAACAAGTCTTCATGAGCACCTACTACATTGTATTGTTCTAGGTGTGGATGAGCTAGAAAGGTAGAGGCTACAATTTTTCCCCCTTAAAAATACAGATCACAGCCAGTTATACATAACTGAATTAATATGAAAGATGAAATGAAAAGGCAAATTCAAAATTTCCAAAGGTCTTCTTTACTAATAGAGGAACTTATAAATATGATAGAGAAGTCTGTTTTAACGCATACATTTATTACACAAAATTAAAGTGACAAATGACTAAGAAACAGTTTCTTAGAACTATTTTACATTTAAAGGTTTTGTTCTTTAAAAAAATATTGATAACTGTAGATAGTTTACAGGAAGATCCTACCTTATATTGTGCAAATTCTAGTCTTGGTTGAGGATAGTCTCCAAAAATTTCTTGAGTCACTCTTTGGACTCTGTCTTTTTCTATTCTGTTTTCATGAATGATTCTTGAATCCACTATAGATGGAAGATTTCAAATAAAACAGCTGTTAGGAACATATTTCATTCTTAAAGTATCCTCCTTTTATTCCTAATCTTTCAAATTGCTTGTATAATTTAAAGATAATGTTTATTATTTCTTCTTGTGATTGTAATAATTTCTTATTGTAGAAAAATCAGAAAGTACATGCTGATAAAAAAGAAAAAAAACCCATAATTCTACTACACAGAAATAAGAATTGTTCATATTTTAATCTATTCCTGCTTAGCCCTTTTGTCAGAGAATAAAAAGAGGCATATTTTTAAAACTTGGATTATAAAATATACACAATTTTCTATCTTGCCTTTTTTACTTAACATGAAATTAATAGCAGTTCCTATGCCTCTGTAAAGTCATAAAAATGTTTAGTTCAGAATGGCTGTACCATTTCATTTTATTAATGGCAAAGCATTGCTATGATAAGAAAATTTTCATTTTTGTTTTAATTTTTAAAAATACGTTTTTATTGATTTTTTAGAGAGAGAGGGAGAGAGAAACATTGCTTGGCGGCCTCATGCATGCCTCCTACTGGAGATCAAGCCACAACCTGGGCATGTGCCCTAACTGGAAATCGAACCGGGACCTCTCAGTCCATGGGATGACTCTCAATCCACTGAGCCACATCAGCTAGGAGGAAATTTTTCATTTTTAAAAGTATACTTCCAATTTGTTTTTTAAATCCTCACCAAGGATATATTTTTTTGTTGATTTTTAGAGAAAGAGGAAGGGAGAGAGAGAGAGAACCATGGATGTGAGAGAGAAACATTGATCAGTTGCCTCCTGTATGTGCCCCGACCAGGGATTGAATCCACAATCTAGGTATGTGCCCTGACTGGGAATTGAACCTACAACCATTTGGTTGTACCGACATTGCAACCAACTGAACCACCCAGCCAGGGCAAAATTTCAGTTTTAATTTTAAAACACACATACTATTTATATCCAGCCCAAAGCTTCTTTCTTGTAGAGGTGTAGTAGCGTTATGACTTTCAAAAGTCTAGGGGAAAAAAAAGAAAAAAGTGAATGTTTTCCTGGTTTTAACACCTTGAAGTACCGCTATTAATTGGTTTTAGTACATGAAATATATCAAATTTTATCTTAATTTTCCCAACAAGAAGAGATTTGAGGCCCTCTGCAGGCTGAGCCAAGCACTTCTCCTAGAGTAGGGTACTGGCAGAGACTGCTGGGGCCAGCAACATGGCTGTTTTGCCTGAGGAGCTCTGTACTTTGTTATTATAAAAGTGGATATGGAAGAAATAGGTGGTGAGTGCAAAAGCTATAGAAATCAATGCTGCCCTGGCCAGTTTTGCTCAGCGGTTAGAGCGTCTGCCTGCGGTCCGGAGAGACCCGGGTTCGGTTCCCGCTAAGGGCATGTACCTCGGTTGCAGTTTGTCCCCGGCCCTGGTTGGTCGTGCGGGTGGCAGCCACTCGATGTGTCCCTTTCACATCGATGTTTCCCTCTCTCTCTCTTCCTCTCTCTCCCTCCCACTCTGTCTGTACAAAAAAAAAAGAAATCAATGCAGAATTTGCAATGTGATGTTTCAGCTTTATGCTGTGTCTTTATAACTCACTGGGATTCCTTTTGGAAAAATAATTTGCCCTACTGAAAGTCTAAGTTTCTCAAATCCCTACTCTGACCTTCCCCCACTAAAGTTGATATCAATTTGATGGGAGGATGGTGGGAAAGAGGGAAGGGGGCTGCTATGGGAGAAAAGTCATTATCTTAATTTTAGATGTTTTTCCTTAAAGAGTGGCTTGCAGAGAGCCATCACTTCTTTCTACTTAGAAGAGATGTAATACATAAGTACAGAGTGGGACAAAAATAGGTTTACAACACAGAGCTTATTCTTTTTTTTTTAGTTTTTTTATCCTCACCAGAGGACATTTTTTGCATTTATCTTCAGATAGAGTGGGAGGGAGAGAGAGAGAAACATCTATGTGAGAGAGGCACAGCGACTGGTTGCCACCCACATGACCCCATCCGGGGCTGGGGACAAACTGCAACTGAGGTACATGCCCTTAGCGGGAACCGAACTCTCTGGTCTACAGGCCAACACTGTAACTGATGAGTCAAACCAGCCAGGGCCAGAGCTTATTTTCTCTCTCTCTTTTTTTTTTGGTTAATCTTTACCCAAGTCTATTTTTCCATTGATTTTTAGATAAAATGGAAGGGAGGGACGGAGGAAGAGAGAAACAACCATGTGAGAGAGACACATTGATTGGTTGCCTCCCGCATGACCCCGACTGAGGCTGGGCTTGCACCTGCAAATCAGGTATGTGCCCCTGTATGGGAATCAAACCTGCGACCCTTCTGTCTGTGGGCTGACGCTCTAACCACTGAACCATACTCGCCAGGGCTTTTTCCATGGATTTTTAGGGAGGGGAAGGGAGAGAGAAGTGTGGGGGTGGTGGTGGTGGTGGTGAGAGAAACATCGATGTGAGAGAGATATCTATTGCTTGCCTTCCACATGTGCCCAAGTGGACCGGGGATCAAACCTGCAATCCAGGTACATGCCCTTGACCAGGAATGAAACCCATGACTCTTGGGTGAGGGGGCCGATGTTTTAACCATTGAGTCACATTGGCCAAGGCCAGAGTTTATTCTTTTATAATTAATTAATTATTATGTTATTTTCTTTAACTGTAAACCTACTTTTGCCCCACCTTGTGTAATACATCTAAGAGCTCAAAGATATACACAGAGCATTACTGACCCTCCTACAGGAGTCTGAACATACTAGTACACAGATGCCATACAGAGGAGCAAATAACCCTGAGCCTGTAAGGCCAGATCTGTTCTTTTTGTTTTTTTTTTATCCTCACCTGAGGACATTTTTCCATTTTTTGTTCAGATAGAGTGGGAAGGAGAGAGAAAGAGAGAGAGAGAGAGAGAGAGAGAGAGAGAGAGAGATATTGAGATTGGCGTGAAAGGGACACATCGAGTGGTTGCCACCTGCACATCCCAACCAGGGTCGGGGACAAACTGCAACCGAGGTATGTGCCCTTAGCATGAACCGAACCCGGGTCTCTCTGGACTGCAGGCTGATGCTCTAACAGCTGAGCCAAACTGGCCAGGGCCAGATCTGTTCTTAACATTAAAGGGAAACAACACATTTAAATAATTTTAACAACTAAATAAATTGTGGACTTAATAAATTAATGCTTTTTCCTTTACTTCTTTTATTGGTTAACTCTTACCTGAGGATATTTTCCCATTGATTTCTAGACAGAGTGGGAAGGAGGGATGGAGTGAGAGAGAATCATCGATGTGAAAGAGACACATTGATTGGCTGCCTCCAGCTGACCCTGACCAGGGCCAGGGATTGAACCTGCAACCTAGGTACATGCCCTTGATCAGGAATCAAGCCTGCGACCCTTTGGTCCGTGGGATGAAGCTCTAATTGCTGAGCTGAACTGGCTGGGGTATTTTCCTTTACTTCTAACCCCTGTAGTATCACCTGCTTCACTGATGGGACAAAAAATTAATTCTAGTTCTCTTTTGCATAATAGAAGAGAGAAGTAGAATTAATATTTTTGTAATTAGCTTGAAAAAGCAGTGTTAAGTTATTCTAAAGAGAAAATAAATTCTAATTAGAACAGCTGATCTGGAAACTGGGATCGATATCATAGACTCCAATGACAATGAGCAGTATAAAACACAAGACAATTATAAGCAGATTATAGTGAGGCAATATTTTGTTTCCTTTCATGTTAACTAACTGAAAGCTTTCTCTACTTCAGTAATACTGAAGTGTGAGGACTTTCCTACCTGCTCAGTGGCTTCTAACTCATGTGTAAAGAGAAGAGAGACTTAACTTTAAAGAGAGTCACTGATTGGCTCACCTGATTATACTGTTTAAAAACAATAGCCTTAAGAGAGTCCAGATATCGGCTTCTGAAGTCCATTTTCACAATCCGATGGTATTTGCTAGCAATTGTCAGTGCCTTGAAGTGAAAATTAGCAAGAATATTAGGATTTATGAGTCTATTCCTGTATTTATAATACTTGTCAAAGTAAAATTAGGAGTTGCAGTAAGTGAAAAGTTTCCACTTAAAAGTGAAAAGAAATTAAGAAAAATAATCTCATGTACTGTAATTCAGCTTAAAAAATAAAAATAAAAAAGGCTAATGGCATTAAAATTCTCATAAATGCAAAATCTTTTTACCATTTTAAGAAATGTGATCCTATTTAAAGTTATGAGTTACAATAAATTAAATTCAGACTTAGGAATAAACAATGGATATTCAAATGTTACCATTTTAGAATACCAGCCATCTAATACTACAATGATACTGCCACACAAAAATGCAAATATGTATGCTTTAGGACAAATATTGAAGAAAAAAGTACATATAAGTGTAGTTTATAAAAGCTTCCCATTTTCTGGGGAAATAAGTTAGAAGGCTAAAACTAGAACCCTGGAACTAGATACGTTTGCCTTAAGATACACAATGGAAGTAAACATTAGCTTTTGGGGTAATGTTTAAACTAGCTGTGGCAGGGTGGACTCACCTGGCTGTAAATGGATGAATGACTGCTCTGTATTATGGAGGGAAGAGATCCCCAACATAAAGAAGCAGAGTTAAGTATTAAAGGGAAGTGGAAGCAAGCAGCAGTAGAAATTCTGCCATTTCAGTAAGCAGCCAAGGAATTTGAATGACAAGCAAGTCTGCCCACCGGGATCCTGTATCTCTTAGATCCACACCTCGGAGTGCACACTCCACTCAGCATTAGATATGATGGAGCCAGGATGGTGGGGCTGCTCACCTATAACCAGCTGAAGTGGTAATTCTGGTACCAAGTGAGGTGCCATTGTAATCGTGAATAAACAGAGCGTGGAAGCAGCAGCAGTCGATAGGCCTGTGTAGGGAGGGCTTATTCTGGGGAAAGATGCTAGTAAGTCAGAGCTATAACAAGTAGCAGGCTCTGAACAGAGGCTCCTTCTCTGAAAATAATGTTCATTAATAGGCAAATTATGCAGTCACAAAAAAGCAGTGGTGTATATCATATGGAACCACATGGAAATGTTAAGCAAATGACAGATGCTGTGTACTACTCTGGTTTTTATAATAAAACATGTTCTGGAAGGAAATAACAAAATTGTTAATAGTAGTTATCTTGGCAACTGAGATTGGGAAAAAGGGTAGGAAGTTTTACAACACTGTTGATCGTTAGAGACTTCTGTGTTGCATTTTTACACTGAACGCACATTCCTTTTAGATTAAAAGAAAATAATGAAGAGCACCGAACCAATGCTTATGCTGCTTTCCCATTTGCAGAAAAACCACACTTCCTCATTTTAGGAAATCAGGAATGACATGTGGCATTTTACATACAGTGCTTACACCTACATAGACCCCTGAGATAGGATAGTATAATATTACAGCTGTAGTAACTGGTCCATACCTGACCCAGAAGGGGAATGCTGCTCCTCAGCCGGGAGGAAGAAATGAAGGCATATGGAGTCTGGGAATAATACACCACGTACGTAGGTTTGTACTGGTTTGGCTTTTTATACTGTGTTCCCCAGGCAATTCGAATCCATACTGCATTCTCCTCAGCATCTCTGAAGGTGACTGATACCTTATTAAAAAAAAAAAATATTTCACAGTACTACTCCCACTTGGCTGTTGTGAGGATTCCATGAGGTAACTTCTCAAAGACCCAAGCACTGTACCTGACATTTAGAGTTCAACAGACATTACCTATTACTGTTTTTACTATTATTATTTTGTATGTACCATTTCACGATTTCCAACCAGGTCAACACAGAAATTCCTGAAGGCACACGCCACCAATCTGCTGTTGGAAAGTAAAGGTCATTGACTTGCTTCGAATCAGCAGGCCTGGCTGGATTCCAGTCCCCATTCTGCATGGAAAGGACCTTACGCACATTACTGAATCAGGACAAAGCGAGATGACATGATGAACATGGACCGAATGACTCCCAGGTCTGTCCAACTTTCACGCTGTCGTCTTAATTAACAAGCATGTGCTTTCTCAACACTTAACTAGGCACTGAGCACTGTGCTTGTCACCAGGGAACCTAGGAAAACAGAAGACAAGGTATGTCTCTTTCCACCAATGGAGTTCACAGACTAGTTGCAGAGACCATCCTCCATGCAACTAACTCTAATGTAGGGCAACAGCTGGGCCAGGACTCAGCGAACTGTAGCCCAGAGCCAAATCTAGCCCTCCTCTTGTTTTTGAAAAAAATAAAATAAAATAAATCAAAAAAATAAAATCAAGTTTCCTAATTAAAATCTTGTGGCACCAATAACATGTGCTTTCTAGGGGTGAAGGATTTCACTGTAATTTTCCACAGTCTCTTCTTTTCATTAGTGTTTTGGGAATCTTTGAGAACATAGTTTGTGGTGGTTTTGTAGGCACATATATGCTTTGCAAAATCTTTTGGAAGAAAAAAAAAAAAAAGTAAAAACCTACAATCAGGGTATTGGGCTTGTCCTGAAAACTCCCTTCATTTGTAAGAGTATATGAAGTAAGGCAGCCTTACAAATTATATACTTGTTTTAAAATGGAGCCCTTTTAGATTAGAGCATAGACCTAGTGTGCACTATGAAATTTAATAGTGCCCTGGCTGGTGTGGCTCAGTTGGTTGAGCATCAGGACATATGCCCAGGTTTTGGGCTCGATTCCCAGTAGGAATGCAGGAGGCAGCTGATCAATGTTTCTTTCTCACATTGATGTTCCTCTCTTTCTCACTCTCCCTTTCTCTCCCTCTTTTTTAAATAATATATACATATATTTTTATCCTCACCCGAGCACATTTTTCCATTTTAGTTCAGATAGAGTGGGAGGGAGAGGAAGACAGAGAGAGAGAGAGAGAGAGAGAAACATCAACGTGAGAGGAACACATCAAGTGGCCACCTCTGGCTGGGGATGAATCACAACTAAGGTACTTGTCCTTGACCAGAATCGAACCAGCGACTCATTGGTCCATGGGCTGACGCTCTAACTGCTCAGCCAAACCAGCTGGGCTCTCCTTCTCTAAAATCAATAAAAACATAAGTGAAAAAATTAATTCTTTAAAAAAGATTAATAGTAACATTTCTATGTAGTAATAGGCTTAAAAATATACTAATCCTAATGCTTTTGTGCATTTCTGAGATGCTAAAAATTACTCTAAAGGAAAGTTATGTGAGAATATAGGAATTCTACTTGGTTTCCATTTCAGAGACCTTTCTAAACTTTTAAATATGGTTATCAGTTGGTCTGGAATTCAGTAGCCTACTCTTAGATTATTAGCTTCCTCTTGATTCAGCTTTGCCTTGTAGCTTAGACCCTGCAAAGGAGGAACCTGAGACAGGTGTACTTGGTTGGCCCATGTTTTTTTTTTCCTCCGCCTTATACCTTTCTCCAGTAAAGCAGGTTGTAACATGGTTGCTGGCATTAAGGTCATTGCTTTGATTCTGCCCACTCCTTATTGGGCTGATTTTCCAAATTCCCTTGGTGCACCAGACAAGGAACCCTCCCCAGGCCCAGGTGTGGAGGATGCAGAGCTATCTGACCTTCCCTGAGTAAGCAGCACAGCAAATGGCCCCAACAGGGGACCAATACTGCTCTGAATGGAAGATAGGGTCTTATTCTGAAGAGCCAATTTTTGTGTCACAGTACCAAAGCAAAAACACCTGTAAAATCAAGATTGAATAAAGTATTTGGAGGGCACACTTTAACTAGAAGGAGAAAACTGGTAGCACTCAACATATCAGGTAGTCTCTCTAGCCCAGAATGAGAATATAAGTGAGGACTCATGGAGGGGCTCAAAGAGGCCCGTGACCTCTGTGAATCAGATGCAGAGTCAGGTGTATATGTCTAAGTGTATACTTTTCTGGAAACAGGAGCTATATCACTTAACAGGATTTTCATAAGGGTCTACAATCCAAAAAAGGTTCAAAAGATCAATGGGCTAAGAGAAAAGGATGTCCACAGAGTCAGTATAATCCTGACCCAGATGGATTCCAGGTGTTCCATCTCACATTCCTATAGTAAGATACTCAGACACCTGAAGAGGTGGGGCCCAAACAGAGACTTTTATTATTTTCCAAAGAAACTCTCAATAGACATCATCCTACAATAGCTGGGATAAAGCATTTTTCACAAATGACAGCTCAGATTAATAGTGCTCAAGCTTAACTAGGTGACTCATCCCACCAAGATTCTTCAGTGGTTTGGCTGACCTGGGACTGTACCCTATAAACTGCCAGTTACTGGCTACCACCCACAATCTTCTAAACATACTATAAAAAGTTTAGTGTGCAAGTCAAATGAAGCTTACAACACATAGAATCATTATATATTTAACACAGACTATCCTTATCATACATGATACACAGGCATTAACAGAGTAAATGGGCTTTTTCAATTGAAACATTTTTCTGTCTGTCTCTTTTTAATTTTCCAAGAACTTTGTATTCTGAATAGTTTTACCTCTCTCTCGCACACACTCTCTCTCTCAAAGGCTTCGGACTGGATCCCTGAACCACAGGCTCACCCATCACTCCCCAGTTAGGTTTTCTGTGCCTTCTCACACCAGCTTCTCTACTCTATTGATTCAAGGGCGTGAGTTCTTAACTTGAAGTCCACAGTTAGAATTCAGGGCATCTAAGAACTTGGTGCTGGGGGTGGGGGGAATTACATCTTTATTTGCACTAATTTCAACTGAAATGTATCATCTCCTTCAATTGTAAAGGTAGGCCATAAACCAGAAGAATTTTGTTGTTCATAGAAATCCCAAATATTTCTTTTTGTCACATTACAGTTGTTGCAGATGCCCCCAAAATATCCTTTACACCCATTACTTTGAACCTAGTTGTTTGTAAACCCATCATGGATATTTGTGTTAATAAAGAAGCACATGCATTACTGTAATCACAATTTAGTATTTTAATACCTTAGTAACTGTATGTTAATGTAACTGGTTTCCCTTGTAATTCCATGTATTTTATTTTATAACATTTTTAAAAAACACTCTTCCAAGAAGTGGTCCATAAGCTTCACTAATGGCCAGAGGGGGGTCCTTGGCGCAAAAAGGGTTAAGATGCCTATTCTAGAGCAGCAGGTGAGTCACTGTAATCCTGAGTACAGGAGAGGCTACTCGGCATGACATCACCACCATCAGCCTTTGGGAAAGTGGGGTTATCCAGTCGCTGGTTAAGTTACGAGGAAAGTGAAACCGAGCCCTGGCCGGTTTGGCTCAGCGGTTAGAGCATCGGCCTGCGGTCCGGAGAGACCCGGGTTCGGTTCCTGCTAAGGGCATGTACTTCGGTTGCAGTTTGTCCCCGGCCCTGGTTGGTCGTGTGGTGGCAGCCACTCGATGTGTCCCTTTCACGTCGATGTTTCTCTCTCTCTGTCTCTTCCTCTCTCTCCCTCCCACTCTATCTGTACAAAAAATGGAAAAATGTCCTCAGGTGAGGATAAAAAGAAAGAAAGTGAAGCCGAGCTGGGAGTCCTCGGTCAATTGAGAAGAGGGGTTAGGACATGTCGCCCAGCTCAGAGCGGGGGAACTATGGACAGAGAAGATACAGGAGCTTTACCTGCACATCACTATCTTTTAAAATGTACATTGTGCCCAGCACTTCAGTCTCTAGCTGGCCTTTCAAACAGGACAGATATGTCCCATAATAAAGCTCCTTTGTTCCCTCAGCCTCTCCTGCTGGTCTGCCTGAAATTCATTCAGGAAGCCAAAGCTTCTGGAATATGGCAGTGATAAAAAGAGAAGAAATCTAACAACTGAAACACACGGGCATTCAAGTAGGAGGAAATATGAGCGTTTCAGAAGCTTTTCTCCTTCAATAGTGGGGGCAGGAGGCATGGGGTTCAGAGAACAAAAGTTCCTGGTGCCTGTAAGAGGCACTGAGTGAGGGGAGGGCACTGGAAAGGAAGGGGGCAGATAAACTGAACTGGAGCCGAGACGCTCCCTAGGAGGCTTCTTGTTGGCCAGTCATGTTCAGCTTCTTACAAAGGCTGGTTCCAGAAGGGTCCAGACCATAAATCCACAACATTTTTGCAGAGCTGGCCAGGGACTCTGCGTTTGCCACACCCAGATGGGACTCTCACCTCTGAAAAGTTTATAGTTTCATGGTAAGAATAATTTTCAAACAATGTAATAAAAAATAACTTAGGAGCCATGGCCGGTTTGGCTCAGCGGTTGGAGCGTCGGCCTGCGGATGAGAGCGTCCTGGGTTTGGTTCCCGCTAGGTGCATGTACCAAAAAAAAAATAAATAACTTAGGAGGTAGAAAAAAGTACTTATTCATAAAAGAGGGGAAAAAAGGAGAGACATAACTTCTCTTGTCTCACAATTATGCTTGAATTAATTTATAAATTAAATGGACCCCCACTCAAAATGCTGAAGATTTTGTTTCATAAATCTGATAAAATGACTTAAAGGTTCCTTTTGAAAAATGATCAGGATGTTTTTTATGAAGAAGAGTAATTAAGGATAAGAGCAGGGTGGACTTGCCTTAATGGTTATTAAAATATTTTAAAAACTACAGCAATGAGTCCAGCCGGTGTGGCTCAGTGGTTGAGCATCGACCCATGCCCCAAGAGGTCGCCGGTTCAATTCCCAGTCAGGACACATGCCCAGGTTGTGGGCCTGATCCTCAATGCGGGGCATGCAGGAGGCGGCCAGTCGATGTTCTCTCTCATCGATGTTTCTATCTCTTTCTCCCTCTCACTTCCCCTCTCTCTCTCAAATCAATAAAGAAAAAAAAATTAAAAACAAAAAAAAAACTACATCAATGAAAGGAATGGTGGAGTTTGCAAAGAACATGCCCAATTCATTTATTGCCCAGCATTTGTTCAGCCCTTGCTGTGTCGGTGGGGAGCAGAGTGGTCAGAGTTCTGCTCTCAGGGAGCCTACAGGCTGGGAGGAAAACAGAGAGTTAAACCAGAAAATTGTTGCAGTTAGGTAAGATCAACATTTTAGTTCCTCAGTAGTCACATTTCAAGGGCTCAGTAGCCACAAGAGGCTATTAGCTAGTGTACTGGTCAGTGCCGATATAGAACATTTCCGTCATCACAGAGTTCTGTTGGATGGGTCTGCTCTGAAGAAGCATTTGTCCTTGAATTGAGAGGTGAGGGGAAAGGCAAGTTTTCATAATAAAAAGTTTGTCTTTGTTAAGGACTGAAATAGTATGGAATATTACCAATCAAAATTCTTCCAGAAAAAAAAAAAGTAGCAAATTTTAAGTGCACAGATGCCATGAAATTGAATTTTATGGAAATTCAGAAAGATTTTATTCTTACATTTTTTAATGCTCTCTGAAGAATTTTCTTAAATGAAGTTTTGAATTGTTTCATATCAAAAAGGTCAATGTCTTCACCTGTCAAAGTAAAAAGAAAAATCAAGAAAAATTAAGGGAGCTACTATGTCTTCAATAAATACATTTGCAAAGACCCCAAGGTGAGCAATTTGTGTAACCTCAGAGAGCAATAATGATCAAAGCACACAAATGCTGCTGGTACTTTGACAGCATTGCCAAATATATATTTCATTTCTCCATAAATGAGTAATAATCACCTCATTTTGAAAGGAAAGAGATTTAAGAGGGACATACTGCTATTCATTTTTAAATAGCCAAAGTATCGAATATAAATGTTCACTTTAAAAAAGAAAATGTTACCTGGTTCTTTAGTCATCTGAAAAACATCCCAAACTTTCTGGTGCCGATGAAATTGAGTATCTGAGAGAGGGAGGAACTTTATATTATATTATTAGAACTTTTAAGTAATGTGCTTATGAATACATATGTTTAACAACGTGAAGGTGGAGAAAATAACAGTAATTTACAAATTAGGTTATTCATTTTATTTCAAATATAAATTTTACATGGATTAAATTTACTCCAAATAAAATACATCATAAAGAATTACTCAATCTAGCCCTGGCCAGTTTGGCTCAGCGGTTAGAGCGTCGACCTGCGGTCCCGAGAGGTCCGGGTTTGGTTCCCGCTAAGGGCGCGTACCTCGGTTGCAGTTTGTCCCCGGCCCTGGTTGGTCGTGCGGGTGGCAGCCACTCGATGTGTCCCTTTCACATCGATGTTTCTCTCTCTCTCTCTCTCTCTCTCTCTCTCTGTTCCTGTCTCTCCCTCCCACTCTACCAGAACAAAAAAGGAAAAATGTCCTCGGGTGAGGATAAAAAAAAAAGAATTAATCTAGTAGAACTTTAGCATTTACTCTTAAGTCAGATAATTTATTCTACTTCCACACAAGATGCCACATTTACTGAGCATGCCAGAGATAACGTGCTCCCCATAACTGGCGTGTGCACTGGCTGGCTGTTCCTTTGGAGCATTCTCCTCCTAGCTTGTTGCACACTTCATTCCCGCACCTCATCTAGTCTCTACTAAAATGCTACCTACGCAGTGGCCTACCCTGATCACCCTACCCAAACTGACCCTGCATTTGCTCTGCTTTAGATTCCTTCAGAGCAGTTACCACTACCTGACATCACATCATGTATGGTCGTTTGTGTACTGCTTGTCTCCCCAACTAGAATCCCGTGGAACACAGAACTTTGTCTTGTATTCCCAGTGTCTAGACACTGGCTGGCATGAAACAAGCACTCTTTATATATTTAATGAGTGAATGAATGGATGTATGATATAGAAGACACCCTTCAGGGGTTACAAACTTAAGAGTGTCTTGGAGTAAAAATGGACCTAGAAGTTATGAAGGCCAATCCCACCACATTACCATCAAGGCTTTACTCTGTCCCTGCAAGACCTCTGTCTGCACTCTGTGTCTTTGCACCTAGGACCAAGGTGCTCTGCACCCCATGAAAAGGGGCTGTTGGCTCCAACACACACGGGTACCAACTTACTGTGCTTTTTGTACTTTCCTGTCCTTCCTACAATTTAGTATCTTTTTTTCCTTTATTTGGTGCCTTGGTGTCCCCATCTCCCCTTCTCACCCTATTTATGGCAATGGCCTGACAATTCTCGATTCCCTAAGTTTTGTCTAAAACAGGTGTAATCTGGCACAATGTGATGCCTGCCTGCCAAGAGACGGCATTCGAAGGGTTTTCGTTTTCTGGTATTTTCTTCTTGGTTTTGTGTTTCAGAGTTAAGATGTCCTGCTAACTGATCTCTGAATAAGGTTGTTAATAATAATAATAGAAATTAAAATTTTTTGTTGTTAACGATTCCATTAATCATTCAAAAGTTCATGATAAGTGGTAAGGACTTAAATACACATGAAGACATTTCCTCAAAAAGAAGACATTTTAGACTAATCCATGATCTTTGTGACACACTTGGTCCACCTCTAGTGTTCCCTGTCTTGGCAAGGGGCTCCACTTTCTTTCTTGTTGCACCTACAGACCCTGGAGCCATGTGTGCTCCTCCCACTTAGTCCCCCTAGACCGCACCATGTGCAAAGTCCAGTCAGTTTTAATCCTTGCATTCCTTACAAAATACACCGTTATAAAAACAAATTTCCAGAAATGTATTTTCAATTCTGTTAATAATAATAATACAAAGCCTAACAGATATCTACTATGTGCTTATTATATGCCAGTTACTGTGCTAAGAGCCTTTCAAACATTGTCTCATTTAACCCTCAAAATGATCCTGTGCTATATTATTATATTATTATTACATTAACAGGTGCTATTATTATTTCCATGTTACTTAGAAGTCTGAGGCCTAGAAAGGCAATGTGACTTGGCAAAGGACACAGGACCAGTAATGGATGGAGGTAGTATTTTATATACCAGATCAACTTGAATCTAGAATCTGAGCCCTTGCATATAAAACTGCCTCTCCGATGAAACTGGATTGGTTAAATGTAAATACAAATCACCAGAACTTACAAATGATGTCTAGAAGGGCAGCGTCACTGACACTTGCATTCTTCTCCTGAAAGAGAAGGTGAAATATTCAGTAAACATGGTTATATTTAGGTTTGATTCTGCCCCACATTTTAGAATTGCTTAGAACAGACTAAGTGCACCCTCTCAATAGCTTACTGACAACCTGTTTCCGATCTATGCTCTCCTATTAGGGGAGAAATACGCCTTCTGATTCATGTTTAGTACAGGTACTCATAACTGTTCTCCCCCAATCTACTCCTCCTTTATCACTTTTAATTTTTTGTTTTGTCCTTCTGGACTTCCTCTACAATGTGGTTTCTTTTTTAAAAAAAAATTTTTTCTTTTTCTTTATTGATTTTAGAGAGAGAGAGAGAGAGAGAAACATCGATGGGCCACCTCCTGCATGCCCCCCACTGGGGATTGGGCCCACAACCTGGGCATGTGCCCTGAATGGGAATCGAACCAGCAAACTCTTGGTGCATGGGTCAACGCTCAACCACTGAGCCACACTAGCCAGGCACAACATGGTTTCTTAACTAAGCACTACTGACATTTTCAGTCAGATAATTCTATGTTGTGGAGAGTTGTCATGGGATGTTAAGGGGCATTCCTGGCCTCTGTCCACTGGAAACCAGTAGCACTCTACTCTCACAGTTTTAACAAGCAAAATGTCTCCAGACATTGTGTCCTATGGAAAACAAAATCATCGCAGCTGAGAACTACTGTTCTATACATATATATTTATATGTATGCATACATATAATTTCTTTCAATGTGTACACAAAGATCTAGTTTATTCTTTTTAATGGCTGAAGAATATTTGTTATGTGGCGTATCATTAGCTGATTTATATATAGTTTGCAACTTTTTTGTGTTTTAAACATGATAGTTAACATCTTTACTTATAGCTACATATATAAATGTTTATCAATTATATTTATATGTCTTTGTTTTTATGATTTTATCCACATATATTTCCAGAAGTAGAATTACTGGGTCATAAAGTATATTTATTTAAAAGTGACTAAGGAAAGGGTATACCGGAATATGGGAATTCTTTGTACTAGCAACTTTTCTGAAAGTCCAAAATCATTTTAAAACAAAAAACAAATAAGCAAATAAATACATGTGAAAGAGTATCTCTTTCTGCACAACTTGACCAACACATTTGAGTATTATTATCTTTTCATCTTTGACAATCTGATAAGTAAAAAAAAGAATACTGCTTATTACTTTAGCTTGTATTGATTATATTTTTTCTCCCCATGGTATTTACTTTTTTTTTTAGTGATTTGCAGCAGTTTTGGTAAGTTGAAAAGCCAATGAAAAATTAGTGTCTTCTCCACTATCGTTGTGCATAGCTTTATCACTTCACAGCTTAGCAGCTGCCTTAGATCTCTTTTGGACTAAGGAAAGTAGAGAAAGAAAAAAGCCTAAAAGGGTAGCATGATGTTCAAGGTTAATCATTTTGAACACTGTTACCTCACAAAGTAGAACCAAGTCATGAACAAGCGATTCCTTTCTCTTCCGGAAGTTTATGCTCTGTAGTTGATTTTCAGATAAAAAATCCCAGGCTTTTAGAGTTGTCATCATTTCAGTCATGGGGATTTTCAAGATGGTCCTCTTGATAAACTCGGCAACAATTTCATCCATTTCTTTGGCACTTTAATAAAACAAAAACAGCACAACAAATATTAACCAAGTATAAGAGTTTAACTTAACAGTGAATATTTTTTCAGCTTCCTATTTTTAGCCAGGATTTTGATTTGTAGGTCAAACACCCAAATGTTCATTCTGCCTTTACTCAGGTAATCTGCAAAGTGTTTCAACAAGAAGATTTAATTATTTTTTTCCCTTAAGCTATATATTTACATGTGTTTTAGAATTTTAAAAAATTAGTGTTCTCTCTCCTTTCTTGGCTAGAGTATTTTGAACTTTTGATGGCAATGATATGGAAATCATTCATTCATTTACTGATTCATGTAACAAATTACTGAGCACTTCTGTAAGCCAGACCTTTTCTACGCACTGAGGATAAATATATCTTTAACCAAAAAGACAAAAATCCCTGCCAGTATGGAGTGTACTTTCTAACTGGGAGAGACAAGCAACAGGAAAATCACAAGATGTATTAAAAGTGGTAAGTGCTGCCTGGCCGGAGTGGCTCAGCTGGTTGAGCTTCATCCTGTGCATGGAAAGGTTGCTGGTTTGATTCCCAGTCAAGGCACATACCGAGGTTGTGGGTTTGATCACTGGTCGGGGCATATGCTTGCAAGGCAACTGATCGATGTTTCTCTCATATTGATGTTTCTCTCTCTCTCTCTCTCTTCCTTCCTCTCTCTAAGCAAGGAGTAAAGAAAAAAAAGCGGTAAATGCTGCAGAGAAAATGGAGCAGTGTTAGGAAACTAGTACTAGTGAAAATGGAGCAGGCTGAGAGTGAGGTAGAGAGTCGGTCCCAGAGAAGGTGACCTCTGAGCCAATCCTGGGAGGAAAGTGAGCCATAAGGCTAGCTATTGGAATAGCTTTCCAGGCAGAGGGAACAGCAAGTGCAAAACAGCACTGGGGCCTTCAAGGAAGAAGAAAGTCTCCAGGGAGGCCAGAGAGAGGAGCACAGAGGAGAAGGCGAGTTCAGAGATCATGCAGGGCCCTGGAGGCCACCGCAAGGATCATGGCCTTTACTCTGACAGAAAGTGGCTACTGGAAGGTTTTGAGAAGAGGCAACTGTACTGAGAATGTAGTCTAGGAGGAAGGGAAGAAGCAGGTGGCCAGCTAGGAGGCTGCCTCAATAATGTAGATTAGAGATGATTATGGACCAAAGTGGAGGAAGTGGGAAGAGGTCAGATTCTGGATACACTGTTAAGACAGAGTCCACATGATTTCCTGATGAATTACATGCAGGGTGGAAGAGAAAGGAATCAAAGATGATACCACGGTAACTGAAAGAATGGAACAGCTATTACCTGAGATGGGGAAGACTAGTGGGGGCAGTGAGGGGGCAAAGGAAAGCTAAAGAATTCTGTCTTGAACATGCAAATTTTAAGATTAACTGTTAGACTCTAAGTGGAAAAACTAAATAAACAGCTGGATTTATGAGCTTACAAGACACAGTAAGAGCTGGAGATGGAGAGGATTGCAGCCTTTTTCTACTTTAATGCATTGCCAATTAACATAGAGCTATTCCCTCACTTTTCCTGCCCCATGCCTGAAGGTGAGATTCTTCAACTGTCCAAAAGGTCTCGAGCCCCAAATCTGGTGTAGCTCTCTCAGCAACAGATAGGGTAATGATCTTCCGGGATATAGCTTAGTGGCTCTCTCAAAGCTGTGGCATAGGGAAGGAGGGACTCTTTATTACTTTTTTTCAGGGCAGAAGCTATAGGCCAAGGGTGACAGCTGATCTCAACTCTGTTACCTCATTTGGGGACACTAATGGGCATCTCTCTCTCTCTCAAAATACGGAACATAAAGAGGCAAACAAGCATAATTTCTAAACAAAGATTATGCAGGATATCTTCAGACTTTAAATTCCCTTAACAGCTTATCTTTTAGGAAACAGCATACAGACCTTGGTGTTTAAGACAAGAAGCAAAGTCAGTCTGTCAATCATATCTGCTGCCACCACAACTACAGGATTTCCAAAGACAAACAGAGTATCCCCTTACAAGAATCTTGCCTGTAATTTATTTCTACCATTTAAGTGTTTGTTGAACATTGCATAGAATGTATTACCACTGACCACTTCCAGAAAGATATGGATGTTGACTGTGTTTTAAGGATACTGAAGCCCTGGCTGGTGTGGCTCAGCAGTTAAAGCGTCGGCCCACACACCAAAGGGTGGCAGGTTCAATTCCCAGTCAAGGGCACATACCTAGGTTGCAGATTCGATCCCTGGTCCTGGTCAGGGTGCATGTGGGAGGCAACCAATCAATGTGTCTCATATCTATGTTTCTTTCTCTTTCCCTCTCCACTTCCCTCCCTTCCACTGTCTCTAAAAAGCAACAGGAAAAAAATGTTCTTGGGTGAGGATTAACAACAACAACAAAGAGATACTGAAAACAGTTAAAACAAAGACATAGAGGAACTATTATGAGTTGTTTAGAAAGAGAAAAATAACTGAGTTAAGAACATGAGAATAAGAGTTAGTCTTATGAAAATTCAGCCTAATTTGTTTCCTTGTCTAGATACAGGAGCAAACCGCCTTAACATGAAGACTAAAATCCTTGCCATGGTCTACAAGGCCCTGCCTTGTCTGATATCTTGCCTTTGTCCCCATCATCTACTGCAATCTCTTTGCTTTCTGAGCTCCAGTGACACTGGCCTTTTAGTTCCATTAATACAAAATAACCCCTCCAGCAAGGTCCCTTGTATCTGCAATTACCTCTGCCTAGAAGATTCTTCCTGCACATACACAGGCAACTCTTGCAATTCAGGTCTCAGGATGGTTTCTCAGGGAGACTTATTCTGACCACCCCACCTAAAGTTATTTTCCCACTTTCCACTGCTTGTCTTAACAGAACTATCTGAAATTATCTTGCTTATTGCTTAACCATCTTTTATTGAGCTCCATTAGAGTAGGAACTATATGTCTGTTTTATTCACGGCTATATCCCTAGATGACATATACTTGTGGAATGAAGTATTACTTTCCCTAAGCAGTGTGCCTGACGAGAGAAACAACCTGGGAAGAATGAGGGTCCAGCAGTCAGTGAAACATCAAAAACAGAGGAGGGGGTGGGCTTGTTAAAATGCAGATTCCTGGGTCTTATTTAAACTGGGGGTGCGGAAGGGTCAACCAAGGAGGTCTTGTGATTGTGCATTTTAGAGTGTCTCAGAACGCAACCGAGGTACATGCCCTTAGCCTGAATCGAACCCGCCACTCTGGTCCGCCGGCGGACGCTCTAACCCTGCGCCAAAATGGTCAGGGCAGAAAGTACTAATTTTGGGTCAAGGATGCAGAATGCCATTCTAAAGAATTCTGGTAGAAAGAGCGCACTCAGCCTCACCGACAAAGCTGGAAAACCCTTGAGTAAACTCTGATTCCCTGTGCTGATCTAATTTCTTATTTCCTAGCATTTAGAGGCTCAGCGCCTGGTTTACAGAAGGTGCTCACGATGTATCTGTTGAATGAACACATGACAAAAATAGCCCTTTTAAGTAACTTTCCTATAGAACTACACCGCTGAGGAGCTGCAGCAGGAGCATAAGAAGTAACGCGAGAGGCTGCATGGACGAAAAAGGACGGAAACGCAGTTTAAATCAAAACACGCAACCAGGAGCAAAGCAGCGAGCCAGGGCTGGGATGGCGGAGTGCCCCTCGCGTGACAATTCGGGCCGCTCAGCACCGACACAAGCTTCCCTAGGTCCCCGCCCCAACTCGGGCGGAAGTGAGGTCACCACCACGCATCACTGCTCCCTCCAGGCCCCAACCGTAGTCCTTGCCACTCCGCATCCAGCCGAGACCAAGCGCCAATCCCGCACTTTGGAACGCGCGGCCGTCGCGACAAAGTCGCCCCCGAGGCTTGGGATGTGGGCTCTCCAAGGCTCCCGCCACCCTCCGAGGCCCGATTCCACGCTTTTAGGGGCTCTCTTACCGTGCACATCGCCAGTGGCCTCACTCCTCAGCAGCTGTTCCCGCCCGCCGCTCCTTCAAAGCCGCCAATTGCCGTTCCCGCTGCCCTTGAGCCCCGCCCACCGGGGAGACCCAAATTTTGGACTGTACCCCCCAGTGCAGGGGCCGCGTGGGAGAAGCGGCAGAAGTGAAACTCGGCGAGCCTCCACGTCACTCTGTTCAGCAGCGAATATTGTTTAAATACAGTTAATGTCAGCCACGACATCTGACTTCTTGCTTCAGCTTGCTCTCTAGGCTTTGCCGTTCCTCCGTGGACTCGCTCCCCCTCTAGCTCCTGAGAAATGGGCTCGTCCAGGCCGGATGGCGCATGCGCCTCAGAGGCCGCGGGCGGCGGGGGCCGGGCGAGTGGGTCAGCTGTGGAGGGCGTCGGAGCGTACTCTACTAGGAGCTGCCCAGGCTCTGGCGCCCAGGCCAGGCGGCCTTGGGGTGGGGAGCCTCCCCTGGTGAACTCCACTTCAGTTCCCCTGGAGTGATCGCGAGTTGGGTGAGTCTCGGGAGTCCGGAGGCTTCAGAGGAGCGCGCTTTTCCTGACTGCGGCGTCCCGGGAGGCCTCGGGACACCCCCCTGTCCCTTCTCGCGTCTCCTGCTCTCGTGCGCCCCTCTGTGCCGCGTTCTGTCGGGACTCTGTGTCGTCCTTGGAGGCCGGGACCTGGAAGGCCCGGTCCTCGGGGCGGCCGTTGTCTCCGCGCCGGGGATCGTGTCAGGGTGGCCCCAGGTGCCTCCTGAGCTGCCCGCCCTCGTGCCTTTGCCGATGACCTGCCAGCAGTCGAGGACGGGCGCTGGCCTAGACCTGTCACTCTTCTGCAGCCTGCTCGCCGCTCCCGAGCCGTGTTTCTTTGGGCTGGCTTCTCCGCTCCCTACGCCCCTGCTGTCTCACCTGTAAAATGGGTGTAAACCCATCGCATCGACTGAGAAGGGAGAAACCCTTAGCGTAGTGTTTGACACGGCGGGAGCTCAATACACTGTCTGCTTATTGTTATCATGTAGTTTAGAGTTTGCACGGAGGAGAGAGGAGCCTGTTAGAGCGCATCTCAGCCGCAGTGGAAGTTGCCATCAGTCCGTCGCAAGATCCCGTAAGATCCCCATCCGTAGACTTTTTAAGGAATGTACCCCTTTTATTCGGTTTCAAGATGACCGTGCCTGTGATTTCACAGTAGGTGGTGCTGCAGTAAATTCGAGTTCTGGAATTCGAATTTAAATGCATAAAAGAAGTTTGCGCTGGCCAAGGAATTTTGTTGTGACCCCCTTTGAATCTCCTTTCCTATACATACAGGCTTCTGTACTTGTTTAGTTGATTTAAAATGAGCCTCATGTCTGTCCTTCTTAAAAAACAAACGGACTATGTTGAGGTCTGAACCACTTTTCGAATCTTTGATAATCCTAAAGTCAACAACATTCAGCAAACATTTATTGGGAATAAGACTATTCCCTCATTAGCCTGTGCGCTCTTTGAGGTGTATGGACTAATCCCCCCGCCCCCCAACCTCGGAAATTCATGTGATTTGTCAGAGTGCTAAGCACCTAGTCAGTGCTGATGTGTTGAGGGAAAGCTACAACTTGGCCCATTCCTTAAGAAACTATGTGATGGAAGTTAGAGTCCTACACATATACAGTCCTTCTCCCTCTGCAGCCCAGGGGTCGCTGTCATTAGCAGTGGAGCATGGTCTGTACTTTGGGTACACCAGTCACTTAATAGCATGTGTTCAGATCTGGTCACTTTGCAGCTGTGATTAAGTAGAAGTGGGTAGGGTAGATAGTCCCCTTATCCACTATGTCTGCTACCTCTGCTGAATATGGTGCACAGTTTAAAATAGTTGGAGAAGTACTAATTTAACTAATTCCAGTACTTTATGAGATGTAGGCTTTACAAAATGTGTTTCAGAAAGCTTTAAATATTAATGTACAGGTTTTTCTGGAGAACAGATTTGTCAGAGACTTCCCTGGCCTTGTTTTCTGCTTGTTTTAAAATGACATTAGAAATTGCAACTGTAGTGTAAATTTCTGGTGCAGCCACACAATAGCAAAATCTTTCCAGAGAAAATAAAAGTGGCATTAAAATATGGGTTTTCCCCCTTTTAATTACAGATTTGCTGAAATGTGTTATTGGAAGGCTTACTCCCTTTTCTTTACTAGAGTTAATGTATTGCTTACTCTTGGTTTATTTATTTTCTGAAATTGTGCCACCTGGTGGTTGAAGTCGGCTGTCTATGGTAGAATACTCATTAGGAGTATTTTACCTCGAAGTCTTGGTAGGTAAAGGAGTGAATTTAATATGACTAATTTTTATATTGTCAGTGAGAAGTACCCTACTGCTTCTACCCTTCCAGCCTACCCCCAAGGAAAAGTTAATTTTCTTTTTATGGGCCTACTAACCAGTTATCAAAACATCAGATTGTCACAGCTGAACATTTTTAAGAGTTTCAGTTAACTGTTTTGGTGGCAGTGTGTGCATACTTGAGAAAGTGGGTGGAGTTGGCATGGGGAGGGAAGTGTTGTAGTTATGATGTTAACCTTTCTGATGTTTTTCTAAATGCCAGTGGGACCGAAGTTTTGTTTTTTAACTGACTAGTAATAAACTTTATCCCTCTCTTTCTCACTGCAAGCAACCATGCATGAAGGCTTATCATGAATGAATATTCCCTTCCCCTTTGTTTTAGTGGTGCAGCTGATGTTCATAAATACCTTGGCGCTACCCTTTTGAAATTCATTTGAGTGTGAATTTTGTTTTTGGAAATGGCTTAAAGTCATTTAATTGTGAATTTAAATTTGAGAAGAAGCTTGGGAATGCAATGCTAGAATATACCCTGTGACATCCTTAATTGATTGTAGCCAGTTTCTTTTGGGCACATTTGGACAGATAACCAAGAGCTTCACATAGCGGCCTGTTTCATTGTTGGACAGCTCCATGAAGATGACATCTGCCTCTGTAACTACCACCCTTTGGTTTCCAATCCTGTTCTCAGAAACACTTCAGAGTACATTTTTAACCCTTTCTATTATGTGACCGAGCATTTCAGATATACAAACAATACTTTATATACGTCACACTGTTTCAGAGACTCTTTTTTTTTTTTAAAAAAAAGTTTTTATTACTTCTTTTTAGAGAGAGAGGAAGAGAGAGAGAGATAGAAACATCAGTGTGAGAGACATAGACCAGCTGCCTCCTGCATGCCCCTTACCAGGGATGGAGCCCGCAACCCTAGCATGTGCCCTGATGTGAATCAAACCAGGACCTCTCAAGTCCATGGGACAACGCTCAATCCTCTGAGCCATACCAGCTGGGCGTGTTTCAGAGACTCTTGCATATGCTATTTTAAACCTCATTACAACACAGAGCTATAGGTTAAGAGTTAATTCCATTTTAAAAAAGAAGAGACTTAGGTCTCAGATCAAGTAAATGAAGTGATATAACTTGTGAATCTCTGAGTCCACAATATTTGCCTTCAAACCATCTTCTCCCTTCAAATCCATTGTTTGTCCTGCTTAACCAAGTTGAACAACTTTTATCTGTCTCCTCTGTTGGGGGCTCCCCTAAGTTGATAAATATTACCAATTTCATTAATGATTTCCTATTTAAATCTAGTGTCAGAGCCATCACCATTCTGAGCACTCTCCCCAGGAACATTCAGATTGTAAATATTCTGGACATGGCCGGGACTACTTTTTTTCTTGATGTAGACAGACCCTCCATTTCTATGATACAGGATAGTATTACATTGACTTCTTTGGAAACTAGGCCTTGAATTAGTATCTGTTAAACTTGTAACCAAGTCAGAGGCTCTTTGGGAAATAGTAGCTTTTTTCTATCTGAATTTATTTCATTCGCAAACTATTGGGAATGTGGGAAAAACAACTGTCTTGGTGGGAGATTACCTTGGGTAGTGACTGCCACTTACTGTGTGACTGGGGCTTAGTTTTGCCATGAAAATGTGGGTAGTGTATATTTTGACTTACATAAGGCAATTTCTTGTGATTCAACTGAATTTTAAAAGGTACTTACTTCCTATAGTTATTGGAAGGATTATTAGACATAGTAAGTGTTTAACAAATTATTTTGCATACTAAAATGTAGATATGTTTTTATGGCTTTGAAGAAAATTAAAAAATAACAATTGGGATATATATTTAGGTTTTCTTTAGTTTATAAAAATTACTTTGAGTTGTAATAGTGTTATTAGAATAGGCTTAAACTTTTTTTTTTTTTTTTTTATTACTGATTTTAGAGAGAGAGAGGAATAGAGAGGGAGAGAGAGAAACATTGATCGGCTGCTTCCCACATGTGCCCCATGGGAGATGGAACCCAAAATCCAGGTATGAGCCTTGACTAGGAATCGAACCCTTGACTTTTAGGTGTACAGAATGATGCTCCAGCCAACTGAGCCACACCATCCAGGGCTAGAATAGGCTTTTAAAGATGACTAGTGGAAGGTATCAGCACTCATTTAAGTGTGTTCTAAGAACAATGCCATTGTTTATAGTTATATATGTATATCATATATATATGTATGTGTATGTGTATATATATATGATACATATATATGATATGCATATATGCTTATATACAACATGTATGCATGTTTTTATCTCTGTAGCCAAGTATCTTCTCAGGTGTTTTCTTTGTCAATTAAAGAATTCATTTCAGCCTGGCCAGTGTGGCTCAGTAGATTGAACGTTGTCCCACGGACTGAGAGGTCCGGGTTTGATTCCCAGTTAGGGCACATGCCCTCGTTGCGGTTCTGGGTTCGATCCCCAGTGGTGGGTGTGCAAGGGCAGCTGATTGATGTACCTCTCTCACATCGATGTTTCTATCTTTCACTCTCTCTAAAGAATCAATAAAAACCTATTTGAAAGAAGTCATTTCAGTAAATCAAAAGCTTGTTTCTGAACTATAAAAGCACAAATTTGAGGGCTGGTTGATATAAATATGCAAAAATATTTTGTCACATTTATTTACAAAATAAAACATTAAAGACATTTGCTAGGTGACTAAACCAGTATACATCTTCCTTCAGAAAAAATAAGTGAGGCAGAATCCAGATAACTGATACTATACATAAATGTAGGTGCATAGTATTGGTACAGTAGCAGATGACTTAAATTGCTGTACTATATGAGACCTCTTTTTTCTGAGGCAAAACATTTATATAATTAAAAAGACTGTAGTTAGTGACAGGCAAAAAAAAACAACCCAAAAACTTGAACTGGGCTGCATTTCCAGTTTCCATTTAAATACAAAGCTGGGTGAAACAGCCCGATTTTCAGTCTTAGGCTGTGATATATTCTGTGTGTGTGTGTGTGTGTGTGAGTTATTCAATGAAATAATGATCTGGTATTTTTGTAAGTTGAAATCATAAATAGTAGGTATATTATAATTCTTTGGAATTATTTGTTTAGATATTTTTAAGGATTTTATTTGTTGGGAGTAGAAGGTAGATAGGCAGTTTGATTTTCTTGGAACTTCTTTTTAACAGCTTTAAAGTATAATGTACATATTATAAGTTCACCCATTAAAAGTGAATTCAGCCCTGGCCGGTTTGGCTCAGCGGTTAGAGCGTCAGCCTGCGGTCCACAGAGACCCGGGTTTGGTTCCCGCTAAGAGCATGTACCTTGGCTGCAGTTTGTCCCCGGCCCTGGTTGGGTCGTGCGGGTGGCGGCCACTCGATGTGTCCCTTTCACATCGATGTTTCTCTCTCTTTCTCTCTCTCCTTCCCGCTCTATCGGAGTAAAAAATGGAAAAATGTCCTCGGGTGAGGATTAAAAAAAAAAAGTGAATTCAGTGATTTTAGTAAAATTATACAATTGTGCAGCCATTATTCCAATCCTGTTTTAGAACATTTTCATCACCGAAAAAGATTCCTTGATGTCCATTTGCAAATTAAGTCCCTACACTCACCTTCAGGCCTAGGCAACCAGTGATCAGCTTTTGTCTACAAATTCGCCTTTTCTAGACATTGCATATAAATGGAATCATACAGTGTAGTGTTTTGAATCTGGCTTCTTTCATTTAGCTCAGTGCTTTTGAGGTTCATCCATGTTGGCACATGTAGCGATTAATTTAATTGAGAAATAGTATTCCATTGTGTAAATATACATTTGTTTATCCAGTTACTTGGTTATTGGACATTTGGATTGTTTCCAGTCTTGGCTATTATGAAAACTGCCATGAGCATCCACATATATATCTTTGTGTGGATATACAGGGTGGGGCAAAAGAAGGTTTACAGTTGTTCGTATGTAAAATAATACAATAATTAATAAATAATGCAAGAATAAACTGTATCATGTACTCACAACTTTAAATCTACTTTTGCCTCACCCTGTATGTTTTCATTTGTCTTGAGTAGATTCTTAGGAGTGCAGTTTCCAGGTCATATGGTAAGTTTGCATTTAACTTCTTGAGAAACTGCCAGTTGTCTTCCAAATTGTCTACTGCTTGACATTCCCCATAGCGATGTATGAGGTCCATGTTCTCCACATTCTAACCAATACTTGATATTGTCTGACTTTCTGATTGTACATATTTCTGGTGTATCTGGTGTAGTGGCATCATGGTGGTTTTAGTTTGCATTTCCCTTATGACTAATGGTGTTCAGCATTTTTCATGTGCTTAATCACTCAGTCCTGTATCATCATCAGTGAAATATCTATTCAAATCTTTTGTCCATTTTTTGGGGTCCATTTTAAACATTGGATTGTTTGTAAGCATTCTTTATATTATTCTAGATACAAGTCCTTTATCATATATGATTTGCAAATCTTTTCTCCTACTCTGTGGTTTGTAGTAGATTTTTTTTTAGAGTAGTTTTAGGTTTGCATCCAAATTGAGCATAAACCCTCTGCCCCTACACACTCACAACTTCCCTCATTATCAACATCCCCCACCAGAGGTATGTTTATTACAATTGATGAACCTACATTTACATGTCACCAAATTGTGGCCTGTCTTTTCATTTTCTTAATGGTGTTTTTTTTAATTGGGAAAGTTTTTAATTTTGATGAGTTTTTACCAGTTTTTTTCTTTTATAGATTGTGCTTTTTTTATTCATCTAATCTAAGGTCATAATTTTCTCCTATTTTTTTTACTTAGAACTTTTAAAAGATTAAAGCAATTAATTCATCCTTTCTTTTTGTAATATTTTCTGAATTCAAAAGAGTAGGTTTAAAAAGACAATAGGTATGTAGTGCTACATAACTATAGCACATCTCTCAAAATAATGCTTTTCTTTTGATTTTGGCTACTAATTTTCTATGTGAATGAACCAATTAAACCAATTTCAGCTCCTTGTTTTCATTTTATTTATTTATTTATTTTTTTTTTTTTTTTTAAATCCTCATCCGAGGACATTTTTCCATTTTTTGTACAGACAGAGTGGGAGGGAGAAAGAGGAAGAGAGAGAGAGGGAAACATCGATGTGAAAGGGACACATCGAGTGGCTGCCACCCGCACAACCAACCAGGGCCGGGGACAAACTGCAACCGAGGTACATGCCCTTAGCGGGAACCGAACCCGGGCCTCTCTGGACCGCAGGCGGACACTCTAACCGCTGAGCCAAACCGGCCAGGGCTCCTTGTTTTCATTTTAATAATCACATTTTATAGGTATATCTGCTAAATTTGAAAAATTTATTTTCCATCTGCTTTTTGTTTCTTTTTATTGTTTAGTTAGATTTTCCTAGCCAGATGTTAGGAAGAAAGCAGTCTATATTAATTCACACTAATGTGAGATGACTAATTTTCCCTTTAACCCTCTCAGAGGAATACATATTTTTAAAGGATTAATAAGCCAGTTCTCTTAATTGGTAGAATTTTATCTGAACAAAATGAATTGTAATCCGTTTCAGGAGTATGGGGCTTATTAATATAGGCAAGCTGATTCTGCTTAATATCTTATTTTTAGTATTGGGTCTGTTGAGAAGTCCTGATTTTTTCTGAATCTGCATGTTCTCTAAACACTCCTGATAAATTACTGGATCTGTTAAATCACTGGATAAGGAACCTGAGGCTCAAGTTTAATAATTTGCCTACGGTCAATGTTCTTTTCTGATGAAGGTAACTGGGGGTTTTTACTGAAAATATAAAAATAGTTTTAGATCTCATTAACAAATACAGTCACACACATTCAAGATACTCTTGTATCCACAGGTTGCCCTGCTGTGCTCCATCACCTTCTCCTAAAGATGCATCCTGACTTATCTGCACACTTGCACACTGAAGAATGCAACGCCTTGATTAACTTACTTAAGGAGTGTCACAAAAATGTAAGAGTTCAGAAAATTGACCATAAAGTGAAAATGAAACTTAGGTACAACACACTGATGTAATTTAAATGTTATTTCCACTGATGAAAGGGAATGATAATGTCTTAGCTTAGTAAAGATTAGCAATTGATTCTTGTGATTTTTCAGAAATCATTTCCTTTTATGAGTAAAAATCAAGGATGAAAGTTTATTAGGGAACTTTTAAAATAATATGTATTAGTTAGAATCCATATATATATATATTTTATCCTCACCCGAGGACATTTTTTTATTTTTTATTCAGATAGAGTGGGAGGGAGAGAAACATCGATGTGAAAGGGACACATCGAGTGGCTGCCTCCTGCACGACGCCAACCAGGGCCAGGGACGAATTGCAACCGAGGTATGTGCCCTTGACCGGAATCAAACCTGTGACTCATTAGTCTGAGGGCTTATGCTCTAACTGCTGAGCCAAACCAGCCAGGGCAGAATCCATATTCTTACAATAAAATACTTTTCCTAATTACAAGGCACGAGAACAATTATGTTCAACTCTGACTCTTGTGATTATAATAGAATTAGTCTAAGATTTTCTGTTCCTTGATGTCTAACATTCTATGTTTAAAGGAAATTGAAACATTTTTATAATTAGATATTAATAAATTTAAATTATAATTGGCCAATTGGACAGGTTTACTTGTTAGTGGAATGGAAGTAAAATTCCATGGTTAAAACCAAAATAGGAAGAAAACCATTTTTGGAATGCATTAAATTGAGCTGATATTTTTACAGATGTCAGATATTTAGCTTTTTTTCATCTATCTGATACATGAGACAGTTATAAGGAGCATTTGTGTTATTCTTTAACTTTACATGATGCATTATTTTCCTCATGATATTCATAAATTGTAAATATACCAAATTATAGTAGTAGTAAGTATGATTTAAATGAGCAACATTTTAAAAATCAAAGTAAGGTAGTAAGTAAAATCCATGACCTGTGAAGTCAGATATTTTTACTGGTTCAAAGAATGTTATTGCTGATAATATACTTGAGGCAAGCTATTTTCACCATCCATTTAATTAAAGAATTGATATTGTAACCCTTCTTAACTATAGCCATTCTATATCTCATTTGGTTTTAAATTTTATTTCCCTGATGGCCGATGATTTTTGGTATCTTTTCATGTGCTTGTTGGCCATTCATATAAAGTCTTTTGCCAGTATTTAAAAATTGAGTTGTTTATCTTATTGAGTTGTCAGAATTATTTTTATCATTGGACATACAAGTCCTTTATCTGATATGTGTATTGTGAATATTTTCTCCCAGTCTGTGGCATCCTTTTTCTTTTTTTTCTTTTTTTGTTCAGATAGAGAGGGAGGAAGAGAGAGCGAGAAACATCGATGTGAAAGGGACACATCGAGTGGCTGCCTTCCGCACAAGCCCAACCAGGGCCGGGGACAAACTGCAACTGAAGTACGTGCCCTTAGCGGCAACTGAACCCGGTCTCTCTGGACCTCAGGCTGACGCTCCAACCGCTGAGCCAAACCGGCTAGGGCTGTGGCATCCTTTTTCATTGTCTTTTCTTTTTTTTAATATATATCTTTATTGCTGAAAGTATTACAGACGTCCCTTCTTTTTTTCCCCCATTGACATCCCCCTCCTCATTCCCCACCCACTTCACGGCATTGTTGTCTATGTCCATTGGTTATGCCTACATGCATATAAGTTCTTTGGTTTATCTTTTCCCACCCCACTTCCCTCTGAGGTTTGTCAGTCTGTTCCCTACGTCTATGACTCTGGATCTATGTTGTTTGTCAGTTTATTTTGTTTATTAGATTCCACATATAAGTGAGATCATGTGATACTTGTTTTTCTCTGACTGGCTTATTTCGCTTAGCATAATACTGTCCAGGTCCCTCCATGTCATCTCAAAGGGTAAGAGATCTTTCTTTCTTACAGCTGTATAGTATTCCATTGTGTATATGTACCACAGCTTTTTTATCCACTCATCCACTCAACTTGGGTTGTTTGCAGATCTTAGCAATTGTAAATAGTGCTGCTATGAACATAGGGGTGCATAAATTCTTTCTGGTTGGTGTTTCAGGCTTCTTAGGATATATTCCTAGTAGTGGGATCACTGGGTCAAATGGCAGTTCCATTTTTAATTTTTTCAGGAAATACCATTATTGTTTTCCATGATGACTGCACCAGTGTATACTAGATTACCCTTTTCTCCACATTTTTGCCAGCACTTTTGATGATTTGTTGATGGTAGCCATTCTGGCAGGTGTGAGATGATACCTTATAGTTGTTTTAATTTGCATCTCTCTGATGATTAGTGACATTGAACATTTTTTCATATGTCTCTTGGTTATTTGTATATCCTGTTTGGAGAAGTGTCCATTCAGGTCCTCTGCCCAGTTTTTAATTGGATTGTTTGTCTTTCTCTTGTTGAGTTGTATGAGTACTTTATATAGTGATATTAACCCCTTATCCGATGTATCATTGGCAAATATGTTCTTCCATGTAGTGGGCTCCCTTTTCATTTTTTTTTTTATCCTCACCCGAGGACATTTTTTCATTTTTCGTTCACATAGAATGGAAGGGAGAGAGAGGAAGAGAGAGAGAGAGAAACATCGACGTGAAAGGTACACATCGAGTGGCTGCCACCCACACGACCCAACCAGGGCCGGGGACAAACTGCAACTGAGATATGTGCCCTTTGCGGGAACCGAATCCGGGTCTCTCTGGACCACAGGCCGGCGCTCTAACCGCTGAGCCAAACCGGCCAGGGCTCCCTTTTCATTTTGTTCCTGGTTTCTGTTGCTATGCAGAAGCTTTTTAGTTTACTATAGTCCAATTTATTAATTTTTTTCCTTTGGTTCTCTTGCTCTAGGTGATGTATCAGTGAAAATTCTGCTATGTGTGATGTCTGAGATTTTGCTGCCTACATTTTCTTCTAGGATTTTTATGGTTTCATGAGTTATATTTAAGACTTTTATCCATTTTGAGTTTATTCTTGTGTATGGTGTAAGTTGATGGTCTATATTTTTTTTTGCATGTTCCTGTCCAATTTTCTCAGCATCATTTATTGAAGAGACTGTCTTGACTCCATTGTATGCTCTTACCTCCTTTGTCAAATATTAATTGAGCATAATGTCTTGGGTCAATTTGTGGGTTCTCTGTTCTGTTCGTTTGATCTATATGCCTATTCTTGTGCCAGTATCAGGCTGTTTTGATTACAATGGCTTTGTGATATAACCTAATATCCATTAATGTGATCCCACCAACTTTGTTCTTTTTCAAGATTGCTGTGGCTATTTGGGGTCTTTGTTGGTTTCATATAAAATTTTGGAGTATTCTAGATCTGTGAAATATGCCATTGGTATTTTTTTTTTTTTTTTTATCCTCACCCGAGGATATTTTTCCATTTTTTGTACAGATAGAGTGGGAGGGAGAGAGAGGAAGGGAGAGAGAGAGAGAAACATCGACATGAAGGGACACATCGAGTGGCTGCCACCCGCACGACCAACCAGGGCCGGGGACAAACTGCAACCAAAGTACGTACCCTTAACGGGAACCGAACCCGGGTCTCTCCGGACCGCAGGCCGATGCTCTAACTGCTGAGCCAAACTGGCCAGGGCGTCATTGGTATTTTAATAGGGATTGCATTGCATCTATAGATTGCTTTGGGTAGTGTGAACATTTTAATGATGTTGATTCTTTTAATCCGTAAACATAGTATATGCTTCCATTTGTTTATATCTTCCTTTACTTTTTATTTTTTCAATGTCCTGTAGTTTTCAGAGAACAGGTCTTTTACCTCCTTGGTTAAGTTTATTCCTAGGTATCTTAATTTTTTTGTTGCAATGGTAAATAGGATTTTTTCTTTTTTTTTTTAGTTTCCCTTTCTGAGTGTTCATTATTGGTGTATAAAAATGCCATCGACTTCTGGATGTTAATTTAGTATCCTTCTATTTTGCTGAATTCCTTTATTAAATTTAGTAGTTGTTTGGTGGAGTCTTTAGGGTTTTCTATGTACAATATCATGTCATGTGCGAATAATGACAGTTTTTCTTTCTCCTTTCCAGTTCGGATGCCTTTTATATTTTCTTCTTGTCTGATCGCTGTGGCTAAGACTCCCACTACTATGTTGAATAAGAATTGTGAAAGTAGACATCTCTGTCTTGTCCCTGTACTAAGGGAAATGCTTTTAGTTTTTGCCCATTGAGTATGATGTTGACAGATTTGTCATATATGGCCTTTATTGTGTTGAGGTATGATCCTTTTATTCCCACTTTGTTGAGAGTTTTTATCAAAAATAGGTGCTGGATTTTGTCAAGTGCTTTTTCAGCATCTATTGATAGGATCATATGATTTTTATCTTTCATTTTGTTTATATGGCATATCACATTTATTGATTTGCAAATATTGTACCAGCCTTGCATATCTAGGATAAATCCCACGTGGTAGTGGTGAATAATTTTTGTTATAATATATTGCTGGATCTGCTTTGCTATTATTTTGTTAAGGATTTTGGCATCTATGTTTATCAGGGATATTGGCCTGTAGTTTTCTTTTTTTGTAGGGTCTTTATCTGGTTTTGGAATTAGGATTATGTTGGCCTTACAAAAAGAGCTTGGGAGTCTTTCTTCCTCTTGAATTTTTTGGAATAGTTTGAGGGGAATAGGTATTAGTTCTTCTTTGAATGTTTGGTAAAACTCTCCTGTGAAGCTGTTCGTTCTAGGGCTTTTGTTTGCTGGGAGTTTATTGGTTATTGCTTCAATATCTGTAGTTGTTATTGATCTGTTCAGGTTTTCTGACTTTTCCTAGTTGAGTTTTGGAAGATTGTATGATTCTAGAAATTTGTCCATTTTGCTTACGTTGTCCAATTTGTTGACATATACTTGTTCTTTTCTTACAATCCTTTGTATTTCTGTGGTGTCAGTTAATTCACCTCTTTTATTTCTGATTTTGTTTTTTGGGTCCTCTTTGTTTTCTTGGTGAGTCTGGCTACAGGTTGATCAATCTTGTTAATCTTTTCAAAGAACCAGCTCTTAGTTTTATTGATCTTTTGTATTTTTTATTTTTAGTCTCTGTGTCATTTATTTCCTCTCTGATCTTTATTATTTCTTTCCTTCTACTTTGGGTTTTTCTTTTTGTTTTCTTTCTAATTCTTTAAGTTGTAGGATTAGATAGTCTACTAGGAATTTTTCTTATTTCTCGAGGTAACTGGTTGTTTTTCATTTTCTTAAGGATATGTTTTGAAGAGCAATTTGTAAATTTGATGAAGCCTAATTTACCAGTTTTGTGTGTGTGTGTGTTTTATATTCTAAGAATCTTATGTATTTCCTGGTCACAAATATTTTCAATTTTTTCTTCTGGAAGTTTTATAGTTTTAGCTTTTACATTTAGGTCTGCAGTTCATTTCAAGTTTTAATTTTTGTGTATGGTGTGAGGTACGAGTCAAGGTTTCTTTCTTTCCCTATTGATACCAGTTATTCCAACATCATTTACTGAAGAGACTATTCTTTCCCCACTAAATAACCTTGGTACGTTTGTCAAAAATCAATTGACCATATGTGAGTGGGTCTATTTCTGGGCTCTCTGATCTGTTCCACTGATATATATTTATGTGTGTCCTTAACACCTGTTAATTCCAAAGTTACCTTACTGGTGCCAATTAGTACTCTGACTATTTTGTACTCTTCTCTGTCTTAAATCACTTTCTATACTGCATCTAGAGTAATCTCTCAAATATAAGTTTAATCATTGTTTCACTTCAATGGCTCTCTTTGTTTATAGAATAAAATCTTCATTTCTTACTTTGTGTTGTAAAGACTTGCATGAAACTGGCCCCTACTTATCTGTTGGGCTTCATCGCTGTCTAATACCTCTGTTCTCCCCCTCATTCCTATGTGCTTTTTTCTGCAGTTATCCTGGAGCGTCTTTCTCTCTCCTAAGCCTTTATACTTGCTTTTTCCTTTGCTTAACTTACAGCCTTTCTTACTATCTTCACTTCACATTTGTTAGACCATTTATCATCTTGTAGGTTTCATTTAGCTTAATTTGTAAGTTTATCTTCCTTTTCTTCTTTTCTGGCCTAGATTCTCTTGGGATAGTCACTCTGTACTCCAGTAACACCATACATAATACATTTCCTGCTTTATGGCAGTTGTTCTCATACTTTTTGATCTCAGAACTCGTTTACACTCTTAAGAATTATTGAGGACCACAAAGAACTTAGTTTATGTGGACTATATCTATAAATATTTAATGAATTTAGAAATTAAAAAGTAATTTATTTAAAAATGATAAACTCATATGTTAACATAGTTATTTTATTTTTCATAAAAAAACTCTTAGTTTCCAAAACAAACAAAAAAAGTGACATTGCTTTTGCATTTTTATAATTCTCTTTAAAGTCTGACTTATGGAATACAGCTGGATTCTCATAGTTGCCTCTACATTCAATCTGTGATGTTATACTTCATGTAGCCTCTAGAAAATTCCACTGTACCCTTGTTAGAGAATGAAAGTGAACAAAACAAATAAGATCTTTAATTATTAGGAAAATAGTTTTTTTTGTTTTTATCCTCACCCAAGGACATTTTTGCATTTATCTTCAGTTAGAGCAGAGGGAGAGAGGGAGGGAGGGAGAGAGGAAGGGGGGGGGGCAGAGAGAGAGAGAGAAACATTGGTGTGAGAGAGACACATCAACTGGCTGCCACTCACACAGCCCCAACTGGGGCCGGGGGCAAACTGCAACCGAGGCAAGTGCCCTCAGTGGGAACCGAACCCGGGTCTCTCTGGTCCTCAGGCCGATGCTCTAACCGCTGAGCCAAACCAGCCAGGGCAGGAAAATAGATTTTACCTTATACATCTCATGGAGCGGTCTTGGGAACTCCTGGATGTCCCTGGACTACACTTTGTGAACCATTGCTCTATAGCAATCACTTAATTATTTGTCTCCTCCCTTTGATTATGTGCTATGAGAGCAGGGCCTAGGTCCACCTTGCTCATTGCTGTGTCTTCCTAGTGCCTGGGACATTGTCTTCCAGCTATTGATTGATTGATGCACGTAGTCAATCAATTGCTTATCTACTTTGGTTCTCTAGAAATAGACATCAGACACTAGCAGCTTATGCTATGGTATACACAAGAGAATTGCAGTACATGGGTATGTCTTTTACCAATTCCACTGGGCATTTTGGGTTTTCACATGTCACAAGAGTATAGTTCTTAATTTGGGCTTAATGTTGAGGTAAAAGCAAAAATATAAATTAGTTTTTTTCTTGGATTTTTAATATGGGATGATAGGAATAAATGTAAGTTAAACTATGAAATATTTTCTTACATTCTAAAAGTCTAATGCTTTTTGTTATTTCTACCTGACCAGAAGGTGTGTGAAACTGCATTTGTCCCTGCTTATTTGTTTTTAAGGAAGTAGTTTAGGAAAAAATGCACAGGAAATACTCATTCTGAAGAGGTCATTAGGTAACCAGTAGGAGCTCTTAGTCTATCTTAAATGCTTGCCAGAAAATCTCTGACCATTTTCCAATGTGGACCAGAAGTTCTTTTAAATGGTAGTGAATCAGGGAAAAAGAAATGGCATGTATATAGCTTACTAATTATGTGTTGCCTGGTTTCCATGAAAGCCTTAATTAGACAGAAAAAGATGTGCTTATTATTACAACTACAAGTTCAGCATTTATGGCATCATTATGGGAGCTCACCATGTTCTCCAATCCACCCTTAAAAAATGTGACATGAAACATACTCGATATGGCCTTAATAAATTCAGGTTCTTGACTTCAGTCTTCATCTTACTCCGCTTTGGAGCATACTTTTTGCCATGATAATAGTGATAGGACTTGAAACCACTAGGAGACTTTTATTTTTGCTTTTCAAACAAAGCAGACTGAATTTCAGATATAGATTTCCTTATATTGTGAATTAGTAGCTTATTTATGTGGCCCATATAGGCCATCTTATAACAGTGTTATGTGTTTCTGATTTATTTTAATAACGTTTTGAATGGAGGCAAATGAGAAAATGGCTTTGGTTCCAAGCGTTTATTTAGTAGCTCTTCTGTGGGACAATGTTTGCTAGTGAAGGGAGTTCCTTGTGTTAATATGGCCACATGGCTCTTTGACATTACTCCCTGTAATGCAGAATGGATTACGCTGTGATTTTAACATGTCCTTAAAGAAAGAGGTATTAGGAAATAAAATTGTTTACACTCTGTCACTGTGAGGTTTTGGAAGTTAAATAGGCTTCCCATTTATCAAGGAAAAGTCTTTTTACAAAAATTTCTACCTATAGAGCATTTATTTATTCTTCTTTTTTAGGAAGGCCAGGATAAGCCTGTTTATTTGTATGTTTTATACTTTTGATTTAACTATTTGCTTATTAACAAGGTGACATATTTAACCCATGCTATAAGAATAAGTATTTAAGTTCTATGTGCCAGAGACCTTAGCATATTATGGGATGAAATATTATATCTCTTTTCTTCCTTTTAGCACAGCATTCTGAAATTTTTTGGTCATTGCAATGATCTTGATCGGGAGATGAGAAAATGCTTGAAGAATGAGGTAAGAAAAGTGTTAAAGGATGGAAATGGTTAACAATCGAACAGAACTTTTTAAATACAATATTATATATCATTACATCCCCTCCCCCCCCAATTTTAGTATAAGAGAGAAAAATTGACTTTATATGTATGTACCCCCACCCTAAAACCTGGGGGAGAAATGAAAGCCTCTTCTGGGGACAATTTTAGATTATCACTGTTGTTTAGCAAGCGTATAAATGAAGACAACTTCCTCTTTATAATCACTGTAATTCCTCTGGATGAATTCTAAAGTTTGGGAAATTGACTTTATACAGTACATGATTATCTAACCACTATGCTGTATACCTGAAACTAATACAAAGTAATATTGAATGTAAACTATAATTGAAAAATAAAATAAAATCTAAAAAAAAAAAAGATACAATGGGAAAAGAGGATTCTCTTCATAGGAATTTGATCTATAATTGTTTTTGTTCAATTAAAAAAGTTTAAGAAATTGAATCTTTTTTCAGCAAAAAAGACATGTCAATCAGCTATTAGCTACAGCAGGTAACACTTCATTTCCTTCTATATCATGGTGAGGCTGGACTTAGACTCTTTACAGCTTTAAAATTTCAAATTTATTTATAGTTAGGGTATGTATAAGCCATAGGGATCTAGTTTGACTTATTTGGAAAGATTCATTTCCTGAACCCAATTTTAGGCTAAGACTTGGACTAGTGCAGATAGCCAAAATACCTAATTCATTGTCTCTCTAAAAATCAATGAAAAAAGTATCTTCAGTTGAGAGAAAGTGAAACATCGATGTGAGAGAGACACATTGATTGGTTGCCTCCCCCACGCACCCCAACAGGGCTAGGGCTTGAACCTGTATCCTTTACTGGGAATCAAACCCATGACCCTTCCCTGTGTGGGCTGATGCTCTAACCACCATCCAGGGCTTTTTGTTGTTAGGTAGTTTTCTTTGTGTGAACAAATATGTACATGTATAAATATTTTAAACTGATTTTTGAAAAGACTTTTTCCTTATATGCAAAGGCTCCTTTAGATGGAAACTAAACTTAGGGCTATGTTCCTTTTTTAATAAGATTATGGAAGAATAAAGCTCACACTATTTTATTTGGTATAGCCGTTTGTTTGTCACATGCTTTCAGTTGTGTAGCGTAGCTTTTCCCCTAAGTTTAGATTTTTTTCTTCTTACAGTTTAATGATTTTGCCATTGGTTTGGTAATTAGATCATATGTAATTTTTTTCTAAGGTAGTCCTGAGCTGTTAGTGACTATTTGGTAGAATGTTGTAGATACTCTTATAGTCTAAGTTTGTTTTCATATAATTTCAGATTGTCTCCTTGATTTATTTTCTAAGTCCTCTGTGTGGTTTTTATGTTGCTTTATTACCTGATTTATAGACATTTTTTTGTTCTTTTCATCCTTCAATCCTCTGAACCTGTGCTCATTTATTTCCTCTCTGCTTTTAATGCTTTCTAGTTTACCATTTATTGCTTCTAGTGGTCTCTTCCTACCATTTCCTTACTGTGTCATTTGAGTATTTCATTCCTTGAAGCTTTTAACTAGAAAAAGAGTCTGGCCAGTTCTATCGAGACTCTCTTTGCTGGTGTGTGTTGCTTTTGTTCATTTATTGAAATAATCACTAATATTACTTTTGTAGCATCCTCTTTTGTCCATTTTACTTGTGTTTTGTTTGAATTTTGGTTAATTGACCTTCCATTCTGTCTGTGTTGTTCAGTGGAGTTTTGTGAATAACACTATATTCATCCTTTTTTTCTTTTTTTTATTCAATGGCCATTTTGACTCATTTTGGAGATAATATTAACATATTTTAATAATTTGCTCTGTGACTTATTTTATCTGCCTTCTACAAAGTATTATCTTTAGAAGACTTACTTGTAAGACCCTCCTCCCAGCCTAATTGCTAGAGGCAACATGTGATTAAAGATAGATATGAAATATTTTTCTCAGAGCAGGTATTTATCTACCCATGTTTTGTAGTAGTGGCTTTTCTCCCCTAAAATTTTTTTTTTTTTATCCTCACCCGAGGACATTTTTTCTTTTTTTCTCTACTCTACTTCAGATAGAGTAGGAGGGAGACAGAGAGAGAAAAACATCGATGTGAAAGGTACACATCGAGTGACTGCAACTGAGATACGCGCCCTTAGCGGGAAAGGAACCCGGGTCTCTCTGGACCACAGGCCGACACTCTAACCACTGAGCCAAACCGGCCAGGGCTCCCCTAAATTTTTTAAAGCAATGAAATAGAATGGTTTTTCAAATATTTTTCCCTCTTCCTCATCGAAGGGCCACCTCAAATTATAGATGAAACACCAGGTCCCTTTAACCAAAACCATTTCTTTTATCTGTCCTACATTAATTTTCCTCTTAAGATTGTTAAGGGAAAAGTTAGAACCCTTCAATTAAAACTTTAGACTTAGAACCTTTTATTTTATGTATTTACCTATTTATTTATTTTAATTATTTTTCTTTATTGATTTTTAGAGAGAGGAAGGGAGAGGGAGAGAGAGAGAGAAACATCAATGAGAGAGAACGTCGATTGGCCACCTCCAGCCTGCCCCCCACTGGGGATCAGGCCCACAACCTGGGCATGTGTCCTGACCAAGAATTGAACTGGCAATCTCTTGGTGCATGAATTGATGTTCAACCACTGAGCCACACCGGCCAGGTAGACTTAGAACCTTTTAAAAGGTTATCTAGCCCAACTCCTTATATTTGAGGTTACTGGACCAGAGGTGAAATAACTCAACATCAGGAATCTCCACACCGTTGTCTCAGGAGTTGAGAGAGGTGATCCAGTCAAGTCCTTAGTTAGCTCTCTATCACTAATCTTTTTTTTTCTGTGGCTTCTTTCTTTATCTTTGTCTCCTAAAATATTTTGATGTCCAACTGGTCACATATACTTAGTTTTTTCAACTTGGATTTATTTTTAATCCCCTCCCGCCACTTAGGTACTCTTCATTCACCTTTAAAATATGTTTCTATTGGCATATATATTCTAAGCCTATAAATATGTACATATAAGAACACTTATATTCAAATTTCTCTGCTTTGTGATTTTTCTAAGTGCCAGGTTCTGTATTTCCTGTTATTTATAACCTACTAACCACATCAGAATACTAGGTTGAAAAATCTCTAAGATGAAAACTGCATTTAGAGCTAACTGATTACATAAACATGGGATTTGGGGAGAATCTGAGGCAGTAACTATTTATGATGAAAAAAACCATGGAAAGTTCAGCTGACTGTAAGTTTCTATATGAACCCATGGTTGCTAAGAGCCAGCTTCTCTTTTGATAGTATTTATAGAAATGTAATGTGTTCAGGTCGTAAGAACTAGGAGGCCCATTATAGTCCACATCTATCAGACTACTTGTGGAGCACTATATTTGATTCTGGTTGTGATATTTTTTTATAAAGAGTATTGATATTAAAGTACTTTATAAAAGGTGCTGTATAGATATTACAAGGCAGAAATAATGTTCTGTGAACAGTTGTACAAATCAGTGACATTCAGCCTGAAAAAGAGATTGTGAGTGGATTATCTATAATTAGATATTTGAAAGACTATAACAGGCAAGAAAAAAAATAGAGGGTAGTAGGAGAATTTACTGGGAAACACGTACTGGTTCAACATAAAAACTTTGGAAGAGTTACAGGAACAATAATTAAATAGATAGTGAGCTCCTTATAACTGGAAGATGGATAATTGGATAGATTGTGAGCTCCTGGAGAATAAGAACAAAATTCATTCATCTTAAATATTTACTGAATTTATATTTTGGGAGGAAATTAATTCAGTAAAGACTTGAGTATCTGTTAGGATGTAGAAACTGTACTACATTGAATGAAATTGTACTAGATAACCTCTAAGGCAGCTGTTCTCAACCTGTGGGTCGCAACCCCTTTGGGGGTCGGATGACCCTTTCACAGGGGTCGCCTAAGACCATTGGAAAACACACATTACCGATGGCGATTCATAACAGTAGCAAATTTACAGTTTTGAATTAGCAACGAAAATAATTTTATGGTCGGGGTCACCACAACATGAGGAGTGTATTAAAGGGTCACGGCTGCGGTTGAGAATCACTGCTCTAAGGTCACTGTTTCCAATTTCAGATTTGGGGAAATAAAAGACAAGAGATTTGTCAGCAAAATAATATTATTTTTATTTTTCAGATATTTAAAAATATTTAACTTAATTGATATAAAAGGTGATGTAATCTGCTCTTTTCTTCCCCTTCCTTTTATTTTCCAGTACATGGAAAAGAGGACCAAGAGCAGGGAGCACGGCAATGCGATGCGAAAGAGACTTCATACTCCTCCAGCGGAATCTGAATCATAAATTGTATTTTCACTGGATGCCTTGGCTGAGAGAAGACCTCAAGACTCTTGTTTGATAACTGAAAGAATCCTGTCTCCTTTGGTCTCCAGAACTTTTGAATAGCCAGTGACCCGTGAGAAATCGAGCCACAGAGAAATACGGAAACCCTGGATTCAGAATATTTGTTAGGCAGAACCTTTAGGACTCTGATTCCTTTACCAACGCACCTGACTTTTAATATGTTTCTTTCCTTTGCCTACAACCGGTTAACGTTTGAGTAACCTGTCTCCCTCAATAAAATAATTGACTTTAATAATATTTTCTCTGTTCTCTTAGACTCTCCTGGAATTAGGGCAAAATGGTCCCATTAGATTTCCCTTTTTGACAACGTGGCAGTTCTGGAGCTTAAACATTGAAGATATAAGCTGAGACAAAAAGAATGTGAGGAAATTCCCAGTTGTGTTAACTATATGATAATGTTCCAACTTTATTGTTTTTAAAGAGTTGTTTGCTAAAAGATTAAGTGCTCACCATTGATAAAATTACTTCTAGTTAGTTTTTAAAGTCTTGGTGGACTTTGGTTCTTGTTTGGTTGGATGTGCCCACCCTGGGTGCCAGTTAACTCCTGGGCATAAACCTTAGGCCAACATGCCTCCTCTTGCTGGGCACAGGGCTCTTCTTCCCGTACTTATTTTTAGCAGCATTCTTTGTGCCTCGTGTTTCTGAGACCCGTGAGAATCTGAAAGTCTGCAACTTCCAGCCACATGACAGCAGGGTGTGATCTTGTTAGATAAGTTGTCAACAGACTGTGAACTGTGGGCTCCTTCTAGTGAATTCTGTGTATATGTTCAGCATGAGGCCTTGTTGGTGTCAGTGCTGAATAAATGATTTCTCCATCACAAGAAGTGTTCAAGAGGCTGGACATTCACTTAGCGAGGTGGTTACGCAGGATAATAGACATTTGATTAAGGGTTGGAGGAGGAAGAATTAATTTTGAGGTACCTTTCAAGACTGAGGTTTATGAATATTTATTCAGTCATTTGTCCCCCCTGTATCAGGCAGTGCAGGTACAGAAATGAGACATTTTGTCTATAGAGCTTGTAGCCAACTGACAAGTTGACTATTGCAGTAATGTAGTAAGTGCCATGATTAGATAGGTATCATAGAAAACACCGGGCATCCATGCCCAGACTTCAGGAAGAAGAAGCCATTCCAAAAATGTTACTTAGCACAGGCGATCTTTGACAAATGGAGAGAAAATGGAATGTATTCTAGGGATCAAGTCGTTTAGCGTGACTGGAATATGGGCACTATTGGTGGAGGACGATCAGAAATGGCTTTTAATTCTGTTGGAATTTTTCCTTCAGTGCTGTGGTGACTAGTTGTAGATTTTAATATGGTGATTTGGGATTGTAGAGGGGGCTGAGCAGGGGGATATGTTTCTGTTTGTATTTTTAGTAAGATTTACCTGGTTATAGTTTGGAGATTACACCCAGGGAGACCGATGAGATTTTTGCCCTTATTTAGGTGAAAAAATGAGGGCCTGAGTGAATGAAGTGGGTTGGGGATCAAGAGGAGTGACTAGATTTGAGGGGAATTGAATACAGAATCAGCATGATGGACAAGGTGTAGGATATAAGAAACGTCTAGGAGGTCTCAGGCATCTGTTTTGTGCCTGCCTGCTGACGATGCCCTGCCCTGACGTGAGGAGAGTTATGGTGCGAAGTGCTGAGTTTGAGGTGTGTGGATGATCTGGGGGAGATGGCTTTTAGGCTTCTGAGTGTTTAGCTCTGGAGCATATTAGAGTTGCCTGGACTGGAACAGACTTGGGAGACAGCAGCATGCAGATAAGAGCTAACAACTTCCTTGGCCAATGTTGATAGTGGACCGTGAGAGTTTGTAGAGCAGAGTGAAATTTTTGGGGTCACTTAATTTTTTAAATTATGTAAGTACTGCATTGTAATGGGACATTCAACTAATTTATAAGTTTCACAGAGTAAAAGGTATTCTTTATACTCCAATATCTCAATTTTCCAGAAGTATCTATAATTGACAGTTGGGTGGGGCCTCTAGGTATTTATATTAATATTTCAGGACAGGAGAGGGAGCCCCATGTGTGAGAAGGAACAGGTATAGAGGTAGAAGGCAAACCGTAGTGAATGGTGCCACAGATTACCAAGGGGGTTAGATAGGAAGGAGTGTCACTGGATCAGAGTAAGGGCTGAAGGGCAGTTGATTGGGTTCCTTGTTCATCTGCGACCTCAGAGCCCTCTGGTGTGGTGAGGAGTGGGTGGAAGCTGAGGTGGAGCTGGAGGGTATAAGCACGTTTGAAAAGGCTTGGCTCCAAAGGGAAGACAGTGTAGGACAGAGAAGGTCTCTTAAAAAATCAGAAGAGAAGCCCTGGCCGGTTTGGCTCAGCGGTTGGAGCGTCGGCCTGCGGTCCTGAGAGACCCGGGTTCGGTTCCCGCTAGGGGCGCATACCTCGGTTGCAGTTTGTCCCCGGCCCTGGTTGGTCGTGCGGGTGGCAGCCACTCGATGTGTCCCTTCACGTCGATGTTTCTCTCTCTCTCTCCCTCCCACTCTCTCTGTACAGAAAATGGAAAAATATCCTCGGGTGAGGATTAAAAAAAAAAAAATCAGAAGAGAATGGCAAGTGACTCTTGGGAATGGGCATATGTTGAGAGAATGCCAGAAAAGAGGGAGGGGTTACTTTATGGAGTGAAATATTTGGGGATGCAGAAATGGATGAGATTCAGGGCCCATGATGACAGTGATAATGTTTTTTTTTTCTTGAAAACAAATTAGAAACTGAAAACTGGAAGCACTGTATGTAAGACATGCGAAGTGTTCTTTTTAGAGAGCAGTAAATGCCTGTTTATGCAGGATGTAATGCTATTTCTTCTACAAAGAATTAGGAGCAAGGCTCGGTTTCTGCTCTCTAAGGACCAAAATCTTCGTTATGCTAATGTGGTCACTAATAACCAGTGATATGCTGGTAAATGTTTAATGACTGGCTCTCGAAAACAAAGGCACTAATTTGTAGCATTTGCTGTTTTCTGTGTTGTAAATATTTCTGCCTTGGCAGACTTTAAGTTACCAAGCCGATGCCACTGAAGGTGTAGGTGGGAAGAGGTGTGCTTAGTAGGCTCTCCTGAGCTGGTACCAGCTGACTCCAGCCCATGGCACACCATTGCTGCGCAGAAAGAACAACAAAGCACCATCAAGTCCATTGTTTGGTTGCCCACTGCTTATCACCTTTCCCACCTCTAATGTTTTGTCAGTGGAAAGCACTTATAATGTAAGATGTACACTAAAGCAATACTGTTGTGACTTGTGTGACAGAGCAGCTGTGGTTGAGGACCAATGAAGTTCAAAGAGTCTCCAGGGGCATGTGATTTTGTAGAAGAGCAAATAACCATATGCCAGGTGGATTAGGAAGGAAATGAGACCTGCCGATGCCATTACGGATGGCTGGATTTGTGCCCTGGCAGCCGAGTTCAGGACGCCCTTAGCCCTCGTCTTTGTAATCACATCACTGTGATTGCTATCTCAAGAACCTTTGGGGCCTGCAAAAATGTCGGGCTGTCCACAAGTTGTTACCTAGCTGTGTGACTTCTGACAGTGTGCTCTGTCTGGATTTCAACTCTTATTTTTCAAGTGAGATTGTTGGACTAGTTTGCTGTTTTGTTTGCCACCGAATCCTTAGTATCTCAGGCCTAAGCACCAAAGAATCAGCAGGAGGTAACTTTGCAATAAAAAATGCTGTGACTATAAAGGCAGTTTGACCTGGGGTTTTTGTTGTTGTTGTTCTGTGTCATTTTCCCTTTAAATTTTCATCCCATCTTGATCTTGCCTTCCTATCCTCATGTGTCTTACCGCTGTAGGATGCCACTTTTACTAACAGGAATATATCATATCCCTCCAGAGTATTGAGACCAAGTCGAGGGTCACAAAGTCCTGCTCAGAACTTCTCTCCCTGCTGCTGTGTGCCTCCCTCCAGGTAACCCTCAGCACTGCCCAGGAGACACCGCACACTGCTGTGAAGGTCTCATTCTGAATATTCCAGGTGTTCCTAGTCTCTGTAGAATAATGTGCACATTCAAGGCCTTGGCAGTATGAGTTCTGTCTACCTTTTTAGCTCTCTCTTGGAAGGGAGTCTGAGAAAGAATATGCTGTGGAGCCTGGAGCATTGGGAGAGCCACAGCAGGGAGTCTGATTTTATAAAGATCTTAAAGATCTCTCTGGCTGTGGGGTAAAGAATACTTATGGTTAAGTTAATTCAACCCGAGTTTAGTTACTTAAATTTTTTTTTTCTTTATTGATTTTTTAGAGAGTGAGGAAGGGAGAGGGAGAGAGAGATAGAAACATCGATTGGCTGCCTCCTGCATGTCCCCCACTGGGGATTTGGCTCACAACCTGGGCATGTGCCCTGACCGGGAATTGAACCGGCAACCTCTTGGTGCATGGGTTGACGCTCAGCCACTGAGCTACACCAGCTGGGCTAGTTACTTAAATTTTTTGAAGCCTCAGTTCCAAATCTGTAAATGATGGATAATATCAGTACCTGTCACATAGGGTTACTGTGAGGACTTGTTGACAATGTATGAAAAGCTGTTAGAAAATTAACCGGCACAAGGCCCACTCAATATTGTTATTCCTTATGAGTGCATCTGAACCGGAGTATTGGGGATACTTCCCTGCATTTGGGTAGAAGGCATCAAATCACTTGGGGTGGTCCCATTTGGGCAGTGCCCCAGCAGAGGGGCTTGGTGTGAGGCAGAAGAAGAGGCCAGGCACTACAGCTCCTAGAAACGCATCTCTCCCTGGCTCCCTGTACATCCTGCCTTTTCATAGAATAAGCAAGTCCCGTCACTCGACTGTCTGCATTTTTCCCCACTGTCACATGACCTTCTGGTTTAGGTCGTGTCTCCAGTCTCGCCTACTTTCCCCAGCCCTCTGTGGATGAGTGGGTTTTCTCTCTAGAGCAAGCTCACTTTCCTCCTGGGGATTTCTGTGTTTTTTAATTTAATTTTTTTTATTTCCACTTGTAATAAAAGCCTAAGGGGCTAGAGGCAGATAGGGGTGGGGAGGAGCAGAGGTCCTATGTCCTCTTGTCTTTATGAAGCACCTGGCACTGCGCTGGGCACCGGTGATTCAGTGATGAACAAGCTGGATAGTCCAGGTAGGTGAGGGCTCATGTCATGAAGGACAATCTGAGCCCAGGTAAGGAATTGGGCTGTCCTTTTGAGAGCACTGGGAATACATTGTAAGGTCTAGGCAGGACAGAGAGAAGTGATAGATTTAT